TTATCAAGGGAAAAAAATAAATAAAAGGCCCCCCATATTTGAGAGAAAGAGGAAAAGTTGTCTTCATTGGCAAATAACATGTACATCCATGTTGAAAATCTGATGGAATTTACAAAAAGACTATCAGAACTAAAAAGTGAGTGTAATGAAGATGTATGATACAAAAATTAATGGCATTACCAGCAACAATTGTAAATTTAAAAATATTTAAATGCCATTGATAACAGTATATAAATATGAAATATTCAAGGATAAATATAATTGAAAGTGTGAAACATTGTACTGAGCACTGTTTTGAGGACTTGTTTAAATCCAAGAAAGTGGTGGGGTATAACGTGTTCATGGATTGAAAGACTCAATATAGTTGCTGCTCCCTAAATTCAACACGATCCTCATCAAAATCCCAGCAGATTTTTTTCTGTGGAAATTGATAAGCTGATAAGCTGATTCTAAAATTATATGGAATGCAAAGGACTTAGAAATAGTCAAAGCAACTTTAAAAAACAGCAAAGTTGGAGGATTTAAATACTTGACTTCAAGACTTATTATAGAACTACAGCAATTAAGATAGTGTGACATTTGTGTAAAAATAGACAAGTAGTTCAATGGAACAGAACAAAGAGTTCGGAAATATATATATTCTTTGTTCCACTAAGGCACAAAGGTAATTTTGTAGAGAAAAGATAGTATTTTCAAAAAATGATCTTGAGAAAATTGTGGGGGGCTAAATGGTGCCAAAACCCCTGCCCCCCTCCCCCCGCCCAGATATATTCACACTCTTATTCCTGGAACCTGTGAATGTTACCTTATTTGGAAAAATGGTTTTTGCAGATGCAATTAAGTTAAAGATCTTGCACTGAGATGATCAGCCTAGATTAACCGAGTGGGTTCTAAATCCCATAAATTATACAGAAGACACACAAGGAGAAGGTGGGATGAAGACAGAGATGAGAGTTAAGCTCACAAGTCAAGAAATGCTGGGCAGTCACCAGAAGCTGGAAGACTGGCAATACCGAGTATGGGTGAGGATAAGGAAAAACTGACACTCTCATAGAATGTTTTATAACCACTTTGGAAAGGAGTTGCAGTTTTTTTTTAAAGTTTACATGTAGGGCCTCCTTGAGGGTGCAGGTGTTAAAGTCTCAGTACTATCAAGCTATCGCCAGTCACTGTGGCATGAGTTTGATCCCTGGCCAGGGAGCTGACCCACATATGGCACAGACCTCTCCTGTCTCCTGCACTGTTCCCCTCAGCAGTGTATTCAGTAGATCTGCCTTTCTGCTCCCCACTGTCTCTGGTGAATTCTCTCACCTACTCCCGCCCCACCTCTGGCTTATACTGCAATTCTTCTATGCCTAAATAAATACAAAATAAATCTTATTAAAAAAATAAAAGTTCACAGGCACCTATCCTATGACCCAGCAATTCCACTCCTAGCTAAGTCTCCCCAAAAGAAATGAAAATGTATATCCACATAAAAACTTGTGAGATGTAAACATTCATAGTGACTTTATTCTAACAGCCCCAAACTGGAAAGCACCATCCATATCAACAGGTGGATGAATAAACAAGTGGTGGGAGATACAATAACAGGGAATGAAGTGTTGACACACACCACAATACAGATGAAGTGTAATATAAGTAGGTAGAGAAAAAGCAATCAGACCAAAAAGTCTGATCATACCTATAGTACCATCTCAATTGTATAAAATTTTTGGAATTGCATAATAATCTATCATGATAGAAAGCAGATCAGCAGTTGCCTGGGATGGAGAAGGGGTGGAGGAAGGGATCAGGACAAGCGTGAGAAAACTGCATGTGGTGTAGGGAGTGGATAGGTTCATCGTCTTGATTGTGGAGATGATTTCCCAAATGTAGGTAAAGTCAAACCTTATCAAATTGTGCACTCTAAGCGTCAATAGTTTATCATATATCAATTATATCTCATTAAAATCATTTAAATATTGTCTCATGGTATATAAAATAATAAAAAATTTTAAATAGGATGCAATGCTGGGAACTGGGGACTTTCTCAACTCTCTTGAAGGGCAATCAGGAAACAAAGCCATGTTATCTGATCCAGAATCTGTACCCTTAACTCTCCCACCTCCCAATCTGTACCAAAGATGGTCCTTTCTGAGGCATAAATGGAGCTCAGATTCCCCTGGGCACAGCACAGCCCCCAGAGCACGTGAGGTGGTATGAAGCATGTGTGGTGCTTTCTCCTCATCTAACTATTTTGACAATGAACAGGATGTTCTTTCCATGTCCCATGTCCCTCCAAGAGCCAACTCCTTGAGGACAGCTTCTAGATTCCATAATGGTATTTTCGTACCTCAGGGCCTTTGCACTGGAGATTTGCTCACCCAGTGATACTAAGTTCTTTACTGTCAGTTAATTCCCCTCATCCTTCAGCTTTCAGCTTACAAAGGTTTTCTTTGCCCTGCTCCCCCCGCCACCCCAAGTCCTGCCATGTATATTAGGTCCTTGTTATTCTTTTTAATAACCCTATCTCATTTCTTCCCATATTTCCTATCACAAAGTGCTAAGTACAGTGTTCTGACTGTGGGCTTTTCTACAGTCTGTCTTCACGGCTGGTCATGCCCAGTCCTGTGCTGCCAAAATGAACCTGAGCCTAGGCTCAGAGTGGGCGTTGAGCAGACGTGTGTGGGACAAGTGAGGACATTCCCTGTGCAGTGCCTGGTATGCTCGGGCCACAGAGCTGGCATTGAGTCTCCTGGGGATTGAAGTCTGCCACGTTCCACCCAGCAGGGAAAGTTCAGAGCTGACATTAATTCAGACCCCACATACATGATTCTTACTGAGTAAGACATCAAGACAATCTCACCCTTTGTCAGAACTGTGGGAGTCTTACTTGTAGAGAGAAGCCATTCTAAAAATCAGTCGCTTTTTGAAACCATCAGCTCAAGAAATTAGGGAGTCTGTCAGCGTGCTCTGAATTTCTGGGCCCAGCAATTAATTCCTTCTAGATTAAAGGATTGTTGTGTTTCTGATGCATTATTATGCAGAGTGGGCTTGCTGTGAATTTTAAAACCTTAACCAGAATCCTCATTAACTGGGACCTTTTATCTGTGTGCAACTTCTAGAAGAGGCTAATGGCTAGAAAGTAAGCTGATGCATCCAAAAGAAAAACCATTCCAGGGGCGTCCTGATGCACATTCAGCCGGCAGCTGTCCTGCCCCCTAATGGTAACAAGACCATCTACTCATCCCGCGCCAGGCGCAGGCTGGGCATTGTATATCACCCCACCGAGTCCTCATTTGCCCTCTCAGGTAACCAGTTATTCTCATCTCCAGGTTACAGATGAGGAGCCTGAGGCTGGAGAAGAAAGCTGAGGTGTCCTGCTCAGCTCAGTGGCTGACCCAAGTCTATCTGGCTTCTGGGCCCCACGTCTGGGTCTCACCTTCCACTGTACCCCCTTCTCCCTGGACAACGAAGATCCCTGTGCAGAAGGATGATCCCAAAGTCTTTTGCAATCACCATCTACCCAAGAGCCATTCCATCCGGGATCGATGTCCAGGGCCACTCATGAGCGGGGAGTTTGTCCCTGGGAAGCAAGGAGGCCAGAGGAAGGGTAGAACCAGCCACACATGAAGCTGCAGTGACCTTAGGGCTGAGGGCATCATCTTCAGGGAGCTCCCCCAGGGAGGCCAGCACCAGCCTTCATCTTGAGCTGGCTCTGCCCCAACATGCCACCTTTGATCCCCTCCTGCAATGTGTGTGGGACCCCTGGAGTTCTCTCGGGCAGAACACAAGAAAGTAAGTTCTGTTGTTCACATTTTATGGGTGAAAAAACCAAGGCAAGGGAAGTGACTCGAGCTGCCTGAAGTCACCCAGCAAGAAAGTGACAGGCTCGGGATTCCACCCAGGAACTGGACCTCGGGCCTGCCCTCTCTCTCATGGCCCTGGCCACCAAGGGAGTTGCTTTCCTCTCTGACCACTTTCCGCAATACTGCTCAGATTTCCCAACCAGGGGCCAGCAAACAGGATCCAGATGGTGGGTCCCCTGCTGACCGGGATGGGGCTGAACTTGAAATCCCTCTGGGTTTCCATATGCATCCCAGACTTCCATCCTGGAAGTGTCTGGTGCCCTGCTGCTGGGGTGGAGGTGGGGGCAGAGAGGCAGCCAAATCTGGCCACAGGCCTGGCCAGGGACTGTTCAGGGTGGGGGGTTGGCAGCAGCCCCCACCATTGGCAGGACCTGGAATGCCCAATTTCCTTAGGCAGTGAGAATCATCTACACCTACCATACTAGCTTGCTGGGGCTGCAGTAACAAAGTGCTGCCAACTGGACAGCTTCACCACAGGGATGTGTTGTCTCACAGTTTGGGAGGTAAGGAGAGTGACATGCAAGTGTCAGTCAGCTGGTGCCTCCTCAGGTACCCTTGGGACAAGTGGTTCCTTGTCTCTCGCTGAGTTGCTGGTGGCCTGGGGTGCTCCTGGGCTTGAAGAAGCCTGCTCCCTTCGCCTCCACATTGTCATCCCTCTATGCACGTCTGTCTCTGTGTCCACACTCCCTCACTTTAAGGACAGCCATATTGGATTAGAGCCTATCCTAATCATAACTTGATCATACCAAATATAAGGTCATGTCCACAGGTACCAGGGGTTAGGATTTCAGCATCTTTTTTTTTTTTTTGTAAGGGTGGGGTGGGAGGGGACACAATTAAACTCATGGTGTTGTTACTCCTTTGAGCCACCCCATGAGATATCAGTTGGGGATATGTGCGAAGGGTTGGAGATATGTTTGAAGGGTTGGGGATATGTGCGAAGTGAAATGGTGTTTCACATACCCTCTAGGGTTTGATAAATTTAAAGGCTTCATCATCACATGTTGAATGCTTGCTGTGTTCTAGGTTCTAGATATACACTCTCCCCCGAGCCCTAGCTGCAGGGCAGCTGTTGTTGGCCCCATTCTATAGGTGAGTGACACAGCTCTTGGTGTGTCACAATCCCCATTCTATAGGTGAGTGACACAGCTCAGGTCAATCAAGCAGACAGCCGCAGACCTGAGGGAAGCTGGGAACATCTCAACTCCAAGAATGAGTTACTTAGAGGAATAATGTTCTCAAGGCAGGAGAAGAGGTATGAACAGAGAAGCTATTTCTACCTCCATAAAATCTCTAGAACCTTGTCCCTTCTCTCCAGGCCTGTGGTGACTTTCTGTACATGTGTCCTTGGGCTGCTGGAATATAGCACCACAAATCAACCGGGTGTCATCTCACTCTCCTGGAGGCCAGAAGTCTGCGATGAAGATGTCGGCAGGCTGAGGCTCTAGAGGAGGAGGAGTCTGCCTGTTGTATCTTCCGAGACTGAGGGTCTTTCTTGCTTTGTGGCTCATCACTCCAGTATGCTTCTGCCTTCTGGGGGCCTTTTCCTCTTCTGTCTGCCTCTGCTCTGGGTGTCTTTTATAAGGACATTGTCATTGGGTTTACGGCCCACCCAGGTAACCTAGGATGATCTCACTTCAAGAGCCTTAATTGAACATCTTCAAAGACACTTTTTTCCAAATAAGGACATAGAGAGATTCCAGGATATAGTTATATCTTTTGGGGGGCCATTAATTCAACCCACTAATTCTCCCTACCCCAGACATCCCCAACCGAGCTGACTCACCACAACCACTCCCATCTCCTGACCTCTAGCACGTGCAATGAGAGGAAGCTTTCAAAAGCAGAGACCAGACTCATATCCTTCCCTACATAAAGCCTCATTATGGCTCCTGGGACCTCAGAAAACAGCCCAGACTAGGCCCCCAAAGCTCCCACAGCCTGGCCCTGCTACCTCTCATGAGTCAGGGCTCTCTCTCCCCTCCCCCAGGCTATACCCTCCCCACGTCCATCTTGCTCACTGAAGAATGGCCACCCATGTGCCCTGTGACTCCAGGGCACAACCAGAGCCACAATGTGTTTCTGGGGGACATGAGGTCAGACCTTTCCTTCCATCTCCTACCTCTGCCCATCTCCCTTCCTCAGATTCTTAGGAAATATTTTACTCACCTTTAGAATCTCAACTTCTGTTGACTACGTGTGTATTTTACAGATAACAGCTTTATTGGGATGTAATTTACATATGACACAATTCACTCAATTGAAATGTATAATTCGATGTTTTTTGCATGTTCAGAGTTGTGCTATCTCCACTACAATCAACTTTAGAATATGTTCATCAACACAAAAAAGAAACTTCATACATACTAACAGTCACTTCCCAGCTCCTCACCTGCCATTGGCAAACACCAATCTGCTTTCTGTCTCTATAGATCTCCCTATTCTGGACATTTCATATTAGTGGATTCATATGCTATGGGGTCTTTTGTGACTGGTTTCTTTCACTTAGCATGGTGTTTTCAAGGTTCATTCATTCTGTAGCATATCTCAGTATTTTGCTCCTTTTTCTTGCCTGGATAATATTCCACTACATAGCTACAACATGTGCTGCTTAGCATGCATCAGTTGATAGGAATATTTGGGTTGCTTCTAGTTTTTGGCTATTATGAATAATGTTGCCAAGAACATTTGTATGCAAGTTTTTGAGTGTATGTCTTCATGTTTCTTATGTGCATACCTAGGAATGGTGATTCTGCTTTTTAACTTAAAAGGAAATTACATCTTAAATTACAAGCATGATATCTTAGAGATCTTCAGGGCAACAGAAATAGACACACCCAGAATTTCCACAAACTTACATGGAGTATGAATGGGCAGCTGCGTATGTGAAAACTGATAACTCCCAAGCCTTGCAGAAGACAGCCTCTGTGAAGCTCCCTCCAATCTCTCATGTGACTATCAAGAAAGGACCATTCAGCACAGATTAGAAAGGAAACCAGCTTTGACTTCAAAGAACAGACAGTTAAGAGCAAGAGAAAGGAGGATTTTCAGCTGCCTAGGACTGGGGAAAGATTTTCAAGGGATTGGAATTTCTCTTTCTTTGGGGGAGAAAAAGGCACTAAAATGAAAGGAGGCAAAAACCTCAAACAAAAACCTGAATCATTTTATTAATGTGGGTGGAATACAAGTGAATTATTTTCTTTAAACATTTTTTAAATGATATTATATTGTTATTATAATGTTTTGCCACTAAAAAAAAAATTCTAAGAAGACTTTGAGGGATTATTGGTGAAAAATAATGATTTTTTGAAACTCAGCAATTCCTAGGAAGAGTGCAGCCAAAAAGACTTTCTTGCTCCTTTATAGTTTCTTCCAAGACATTGGCTCACTGAGACAGAGGTCAATCAAGCAGACAGCCGCAGACCTGAGGGAAGCTGGGAACATCTCATCTCCAAGAATGAGAGTTACTTATGAGCACATAGGAAAAAACAGGTAAGAAAAGTCATTAAAGGTTTCTGTCTTTAAAATGTGGAAAAAATGGAAATGTTTAACCATTCATGATTCATAAGTAATGCCATATCTACGTGTTTGCTTTCTCAAATACCTTACTGCATACGTATCCACGCCCTAACTGCATATTCTTTATTACAAAAAATAATTCTTATAGCATTCTTTCTTAAACAGTTATTAGTAATTCTGGTACTTATGCTCAAGTGTTTTTTTTTTCTTTTTTATTTCTATATATATTTTTTACATTATTCATTTTTATACAGTTTGCTTTCTCCTCTCAGTTGCAGTCCCCATAAAATTCCCTCCACCAAGTCACCTGTGAACCATCGTCATAGTCTTTTTTTATGCTCAAGTGTTTTAAAAAGATTCTTGCTTATTTCAAGAGGTACCATTAAATAAAAAAACACATTTGTCTACTCAGAAAGAGTCTAGAAGTTGCCAGATGCGTGGCACAGAAGGTACCACTTTCCACTCCTTCACCTAGAGCAGACATTGCTAAATGAGCACAACACTCTTTTCCATCAATCAAAAAGATCTTCTCTTTCCCTGTCTATTTTCCCAAAAGGCAGTTTCTATGATCAGAGGAGGCCATTAAAAAAGATACCATGTCTGGGCCTCCCCTGGTGGCGCAGCGGTTGAGCGCTGGGCTGTGAAGCTGCCCACAACCTCTGTAGTGCCAGTTCGATCCCGGCCCGCAGGCGAGGGTCCCACATGGTGCAGACCTCTCCTGCTGCGCCCGCTGCTCCCCTCAGCAGTGTACTTCATCAGTCTGCCTGTTCTGTTCCCCGCTCTGGCTCTGGTGAATTTTCTCACCCTCCCACACTTCTGACTGTACCCAGTGCTTGTATAAATAAATAAATAAATCTTTAAAAAAAAAAAAATTTCGTGCCTGTGTGGGTTCAACCCAAAACGCCACCTAGTGGCAGGGCTTCCTAATTGCAGGTTGAGTATCTAGAAAGAAGCCAGGTTCTCTGAAGTGACAAAATGACAAATGAATGATGCTGTTTAGTCTCATGTAAACACAATAGAGTTGGAATGTTAACATCTCTTTCCCTTTCTTTAGCCTAAGGTTGTCCAAATGGAGTGTTTCAGGCAACAGTTAGTAAGAAAGAGCCTTCAGGAACCCTAGTTTCTTCCCCAATACTCTCTTGGCTAAAGACAGACCCTTCTGTCCCGCAGGGACTCACATTTCCAGGCTGCCCAGATCTCACTCCACAAATTACATGTAACAAGCTTTGTATCAACAAGGATACTTTTTTCTGAGCAGTATGTGCCAGGTACTGGACAATGAGTTTTTGTTTTTGTTTTGAGATTTATTTATTTATGCACACAAGAGCTCTCGGCTCTGTCTCTGGTGAATTCTCTCACCCTCCCGCGCTTCTGACTGTACCCAGTGCTTGTATAAATAAATAAATAAATCTTTTAAAAAAGAAAAAAAAAGATTTGAAGTTTTGGGGGTTTTTAAATGCTTTAAAAAAATTTAATTTATTTTTTCATAGATAAACTGTAGAGTGTAGGCTAGAGGTGAGGGGCGGGCGGGGTGAGAGGACTCATCAGAAGCAGAACAGGCAGATCAGATCTACTGAAATATACTGCTAAGGGGAGCAGCAGGCGAGACAAGAGAGGTCTGCTGCACCATGTATGGGTTAGCTCCCTGGCCGGGGATTGAACTCAGGCCATAGTGGTGATAGCTCTGGGACTTAACCCCTAGCCCACCAGGGAGGCCTAAGGACTTAAAATTTTTTGATAACATGGGCTGGCAAGGGTGTAGCAATCTATCTAATTGTATAATATTTTCAACACCCTAGAAAGAAAACTGTACCCATCAGTAGTCACTCCCCTTCTTCAGTCACCAGTCCCTGGGAACCACTAATCTACTTTCTGTTTCTTTTTTTTTTTTAAAGATTTAATTTTTATTTATACCATAGCTGGGGTACAGGCCAGAGGCGTGGGAGGGTGAGAGGATTCACCAGAGACAGAGTGGGGAGCAGAACAGGCACAATGACTGAAGTACACTGCTGAGGGGGACAGCGGGGGAGAAAGAAGCAGTCTGCTGTGCCATGTGGGTTGCTCCCTGGCTGGCCAGGAATCGAACCCGGCACTGCAGAGGCTATGGACAGCTTCACAGCACTGTGCTCAACCTGCTGTGCCACCAGGGAGGTCCCAGTCTAATTTCTGTATCTATGGATTAGCTTGTTCTGGACCTGTCACATAAATGCATCATGTGGCCTTTCTTCTGACTTCTTTCACTAAACATAATGTTCTCAGGGTTCACCTACCATAGGATGTATCTTCACTATGTTCTTTTTCATGGCTGACTATTATTCCACTGTATGAGTATACATTTTGTTCATCCCCTCATTCTTTATAATGGCCATCCCATTGGTGGATATACCTTGATTTACCAGTTTCCTACAATGGACATTTAGGTTATTTCCAATATTTTGCTTCTACAAACAGTGCTCCCCCTTGGTAGTGGGTGTGGTGTGGTAACACACATCTAAAGAAATGTGATCTTATACCTCTGCATCATACAGTGTTGTAAATCAATGCTAGTTAAAAATTTTTTTTCTTAAAAAATTTGTTTAATTGCTGTGGTTAATTTCCCTATATGCACAGTAAATGCATGACTCAAGTATTGATGAATGTGTATTTTTTTTAAGATTTATTGATTTATACAAGCATTGGGTATAGTCAGAAGAGTGGGAGGGTGAGAGAATTCACCAGAGCCAGAGCGGGGAGCAGAACAGGCAGACTGACGAAGTACACTGCTGAGGGGAGCAGTGAGCGTGGCAGGAGAGGTGTGCAAGCCATGTGGGATCCTTACCCGCAGCGGGGGATGGAAATGGCGCTGCAGAGGCTGTGGGCAGCTTCACAGGCCAGCGCTCAACCGCTGCGCCACCGGGGAGGCCATGAATGTGTATATCTGATGTCCTTACAAAGGGCAGCATTTTTCTTTAGACAGCATTTTCTATGTATAACTGTACGTACTTGTTTCACTTAATAACTGATCTTGGAAATTGTTCCATAACAAAATACTTAGATAACTTCCTCAGTGCAGAATTGCTAGTCACAGGAATATACACTTTACATTTTATTATATATTATCAACTGCCTTCTAAAGGGGGCATTTGTGAAATGGCATTTCCCCCACACCCTTGCCAACCCATTTTATAAAAAAATGTAAGTCCTTACATTGGTGTTGTAAGATGCTATCTCATTGTGGTTTTCATCGGCATTGCCTTTCATTTGAATGAAATTAAATGCCTTTTATTCTGCATTGTCTGTTCATAACTTTCATCTTTTTCTCTATTGGGTCTTTGATTGATGTAATGATTTGTAAAAGCTCTTTATGTGTGGAGGAAATTAACCATTTGATATGAAATTATCTGATTGACATGATGAAATTTTTCTAGTTTGTCATGTTACTTTTACTCTGCATAGAAAGTTTTGTGTACCCAAATGTATCTTTTATACCTATCCTAAAACTCTTAGAAAAATTACAAAAAGGGTCCAGCATCCATGCCTATTTATGATCCATCGGGGAAACCAGACAAATCAACAGATGGTTCCAGCACAGAATACTGTGAGTGGGGAAGCTGAGTGGACATGTCACTCAGTCTTGGAGATGTGGGACACCTTCCTAGAGTAGGGAGGGGGTGATGTCTGAGCTGAGACTGAAGGGTGGCAGGCATTGGCAGGCAGAGGTAAAAGGATGGGAAAGTCTCAGCCAACTGGAGAGCCCAGCATGGACTAGGGACCTGAGAGGTGTTTGGTGTCCAAGTCTGGGGCAAAAGGAGGTTGAGCAGGCTAGGTCATATTCAGTTCTCAACTTGAGGACAATCGAGAAGCTAAAGATTTTCCTCACAGGGTTATTAGGCTTCATTTGCCTTTGGGAAGATCCTGCAGGATTGGAAGGGTCAGAGAGGAGATGAGAGGCCACCAAAGAGACCAAGGTCATATCTCATGAAAGAATGGAGGCTGGAAGGGATGGAACAGAGGAGTGGGCAGATGGGGAGGATCCAGGCTTAGTCCCACAGAGCAGGATGACAGGGTAGGGCAAGGAAAGCCTGGAGCCAGGTGCTCAGAGTGCACATCCCCCATCAGACTGTCCACCTACTTGACTCCCTGGACCTAGCTCCAAGCTCAGAATCCATTTCTCTTGGACCCACAAGCTCTGTCTGCCTTCTAGGGCTGCCCGTGCATGCCCAAAACAGCTGAGAACCCATTGCCAGGAATAGTGGGAGATGGAGAAAGGACCGACTCCCCACCCTTGGGTGCATGAGGAGCTGAGGGAAGCCGGAGCCTATGGGGTACAGAGGAATGGGTAAAGCTTAGGTGGTGCTGGGCTGGTGCTCTGGTCCTGCCTGGCTTCTATAGGAGCCTAGACCAGCAAACTGGAACCTCTTTCCGAAGTGCCCTCTCGGCCTGTCTATCTCTCTTTCTGAGATTCTCTCTCTTTCCATCTCTCTAGCTCACTTGTCTCCCTCTATCTACGACCTGCTAGCTCTCTTTCTAAGTTTTCTGTTTCTGTTTCTCTCTGCCTCTTATTCTCTCCTCCCACAGAATCGCTTCCTCAAAGGTAAAATCCATTCTTCTGGAGAATGTCAGGTGAGTCAGGCCAACCAGGACTAGCGAGACTAGTGATAACTCCAGGGTCTCTGCTATGAGTAGCTCTCATTGCCTGCCCTTCATGCCTGCCAGATCCATCTAGCTGCAAGGATTTATGGCCACTGCTCCACATGTGTCCAGTTCGGAGTGACATGTCCAGCTGGATAATGGATACCTTCCCAGACAGAAGGTTCTCTCATTTAGCACGCCTTGCTTCTGGACCCATGGTTACTCCACTAGTTTAGGGTTCCACTACTAGTTAGTGGTTTAGGGTTTAAATGAGGAAGAATCCCTGTTAACTGACCCCCAACATTCAATAACATTAACCATATATATATCAGTCATTAACACTCTAGTGTGAACAAACTAACAGCTCATCCCTCTACTTCCAACTGGGGGGAAGCTGCCTAAGGGGATATCATAAGTCCTTTTTAGCAGGAAGGGAGGTATGGAAAGAGAAGCAGAGTAAACTACCTCATAGAAAGTATGTGGGACAGAGGTGGGGGACAGAAAGGAGGGGATTTGGGAGAAGGTACCAGAGGAAGGAAGTTGGGCAAACGTTGTTAAGAAGGCCTCTCAGGGGCCTCCCTGGTGGCGCAGCAGTTGAGCACTGGGTTATGAAGCTGCCCGCAGCCTCTGCAGCGCCGGTTCGATCCCCGGCTGCTCCCCGGTCACCGGAGGAGGGTCCCACATGGCGCGCAGACCTCTCCTGCTGCCCGCTGCTCCCCTCAGCAGTGTACTTCGGTCCTTCTGCCTGCTCTGCTCCCTGCTCTGGCTCGGTGAATTCTCTCACCCTCCCGCGCTTCTGACTGTACCCAGTGCTTGTATAAATAAATAAAATAAATTTAAAAAAAAACTTAAAAAAAAAAAAAAAGAAGGCCTCTCATTTACCCATTCCTTTACAATCAACAAAGCACAGTCAGAAAAAGTCCCCAAGTCTCACATCACCGTCCTTTTCTACATTGGGGCACTGAGACCTGGAGAAAAGGGATTCACTGCAGATCACACAGAACATTCAGGTCCCTAACTCCCAATACAAGACCTGTCCTCCCATGCTCGCTTGTGACAGCCCTGTCACTCTGTCGTCGTCCTCCCGCTCCCTAAGGGACAGACCTCTCACCCTGAGGATTCCTGAGGAGGGTGAGATGGCCTTCTCAGAGCTGTAATTTATAGTTTTCCGACAGCTTCCTTCCTCCCATCTCTCCCTTCAATCTGTCCCAGCTCTGTGAGGAAGGAATGAGCTGGGTAACAAGGGCAGGTCCAGGGAGCATAAATAATTTGGCCAGGCAGCTGCAGGCTCTCTGGATCCCCCCAGTGTCCCTGCCCCTGCCCAGTGGGGTGCTCCAGGCTCTGCAACCAATGGGCAACAGGGCCAGGCCTCCAGATCAAAAGCACAGAGAGGAAGCATTGTTCTCCAACCTGGAAGCTCAGGGAGAAGGCCCAGCCCTCCAGCCCCGCCCTTTGTCTGGGCAGAAGCTGTGAAGGCCACTGATGTTTATATGGCTACTTCCCTTTCATGACATCCACCCGCTGCTGGACCATCAGGCCTGGGCCTCTGGGAACAGCCACCACAGGCTTTGGGCACCCCTTGGTCCCCTCGGGCTGCTTCCTAACCTACAGAATGGGCACAAAACAAGTCCAGATGAGATAGGGTGCTGGGCTCACAGGAGCTGGTGTGCGAATAGGGTGGATCTTATGGGCACCCCCTGAGCCAGAAAAGCTGTCCTGTGGGACACAGGCAGAGGAAAGAGGCCCTTGGCACAGGCCCCAGGGATCTCATAGCAGAGAGGATGCAGCCCAGGTTTGTTTGCTATGAGGAGAACAGCATTTCCTGTTTGGAGTAGGCCAGGGTGGACGTGTCAGTGAATCCACACCAGAAGGGCTATGTTTCCGGGACCCCATGGCCTTTTCTGGAGGGTGTGAGTGAGTGAGTGAGTGTGTGTGTGTGTGTGTGTGTATCTAGTCTGTGTCCCTGTGTGGTCCACATGTGTGTGTCCATGTGTTTTGTCTCATCAGTTCCCAGATGGGAGTTCAAATTTGAGCTGAGTTCTCTCTCTCCCCGCCCCCACAAATGCCCCCTGCAGAGCTCGGCCAGAGGATGGCAGTGTGACCTGGTAGGTAAGGGCACCACTCACCAGTCATGAAGCTCAGGGAAGCCCCACACCTGGCAACCCCTTGGGCATTGGGTGGTGGAGAGGACAGGAGACAACATGAGCAAAATGCTTAGCACAGCTCCTGGCACATGGTCAGCACTCAGGAACATTAGCTGCTGTCGTTACTGGCGGCTGTGGTCTGGCTTGGCAGCTGACAGGACCAGACCCCCAGGGAGGAGGCCCTGCCCACTGGGACAGGCTCCAGCCCTCGAGCCAGGGGGGCCCCTATCCTCCCCATCTCAGCAAACACTGAAACCTCAAGTGACCAAGACCTTGGCCCCCACGGTGTTTTCTGCCCCTTCCTGCTCAGGGAGGAAAGAGCACCAGAAAACAGCCCAACCTCCACCAAGAAAGTACACTTCAAAAGGGGGCTTCAGGCTGTGCCCCAGGACCACTACATGGAGACCCAGAGCTTTCGCACTTCCCCAAAAGCACAGACTTGAGCCAAAAGGACTTTTATTTTTTTATTTTTTAAAAAGCTTTAGTTATTTATACATACAAGAGCTGGGGTACAGGCCAGAGATGCGGGGGGTGAGAGGATTCACCGGAGACAGAGCGGGAAACAGAACAGGCAGACTGACTGAAATACACTGCTGAGGGAGCAGCGGGCGAGCCAGGAGAGGTCTGCTGTGCCATGTGGGTTGCTCCCTGGGGATCGAACTTATGCTGCAGAGGCTGCGGATTTCTTAATAGTGTGGTGTTTAACCCCTTGCGCCACCAGGGAGGCCCCCAGAGGGACCTTTAAAAGATTCCATGACTTTTTCTTTTCAGGCAAGGAAATGAGATTCAGAGAGGGAAAGTGACTTATCTGGTTGTTCCGGAAATAACACCTGGGCTTGAGGTAACCACCAGGCTGACCACAAGGTCTAGGTGTAGCTATAAAAAGTACCCTAGATCAGGGGATCCCCAGCCTCAGCAAGGACAGGACACTCCCAACTGTGAAAATATTGCTAACAGCTTTTACTGAGAAGTCTCTTGCTGGAGAAATTCCTCAGTGGCCTAAGTGCCTGGCAGTTGGGTGGCATTGGTAAAGGAGTGTGTATGCCATCCATCACAGGAGCATCTCAGACAGACTGCAAACAGATCTGTGGTACCAGCAGATTCTGTGGCAACCATTGGGGGTCCTGGACCCCTTCGAGGTCCTCCTAGATCCTCCCCAGGACAGAAGACACTGCCCAACATGTCTCCTTCCTAAACTGCTTCATGCTTTTCAAAGTGTCGTTGTGGCTCTGGGTTTTGACCCCAGCCACTTGACCTGACCACAGATGGGCCCAGGATCCTCTCAGCAGATGGGCCCTTGGGAGGGACAATTCATCCAGGCAATGAATCCACTGATCCAGTTGTGTCAAAAACAAGGGTTAACCAGGAAGGTACAAAATTGCATTTCTTGGAGGGTCAGACAGATGGCACATAGTAGGTACCCCAAAACTGCACAGGAAAGAAGGCAGCTCCCTGAGGGGGCAAAGTTGGTGCTGTGATGTCACTGGAGGAAGAGGGGAGCACTTGGGAGACCACATGAAGCAGGGGGCGGGGTACTACAGTGGTATCTCAACCGCATCCACACACCCATAAGGAACTTGCAAGTTTTGCCCTTACAGAGATAAACTGAGGCTCAGAATGGGGCAGGACTTGTGCAAGCTCACCCAGGCAGAGAAAGTTTAAACAGGATCCCTCTGTATCAGGACACCTTCCTATGACCTGGTACTGCACAGCCCTGGGGAGTCCCGGACAGGCAAACCCCAGGACTCAGAGGTAGGGGCTAGCAGATCCTGCCCACTGGAGCGTTTTCAGTAGTGATCTTGGATCTGGACAAGCCACAGCAGGAACCCACGTAATAGCCCTCCATGCATCGCGGAGTAGGGCAGGGGACCCCCTACTTAGGACTTCATGGTGCATATCAATTTGGGCAGAAGGGAGGGTATTGGAGACTGTCCTGGAGCTGGGGGGGGGGTGTTCTGGGTACCCTCTGAGTTCGGTGACAGGGCAGGGAGAGGGGCAGCCCAGACCCCGCAAACCTGCCTGCTCCAAATAGGTTCTGCCATCCGCCACGTCAACACAAAACATAGGAGACTTTTATGGGAAGGAACTTTAATACAACTAGGAAACAATACAGGAAAGGCAAAGAATCTAGTTTCTAAATCAAGCACCCAAAGTTACCCGACCCCTCATGGGTAAAAGTCCATCCAAATGGGATTGGCCCAGAGCAAGGCCCCAAAGCCTGCCCCACGTCTAAAGCATCTTCCAGTGGGGACCTGCAGAAAAAGATCAGAAACAAACAGACAAGTCTGGAAGGAAAAGAGAAAAATCAAAAGCAAGACAAAAACCACCATTGTCACCTCCCCACGGGTCTCACCCACATCTGTGTCACCCAGTCCACGACCAAAAGACAAGCGCAGTTTCTTCACGTGTCTCTAGGCTCCACGCGCCTCCTCCAGGTCTCCTGGCTCCATCCTGCTTCCTTCCTCAGTCTCCTCTGCAGCTTCTTCTCTCTGCTCAGCTCCACCCTCCTTTTGGGTGGGGCAGGAAACCTGGAACCTCCCCCTTTCCTGGGGACCACCCTGTTACAGTCCCTTTACATAAACACACTCCTAACATAGACACACAAGACATCCCACACCTATCATGCACATCCATCACCTATGACACGTCACACACGCACACTCATCCGTCACACACGTCGTACACCACACTTACCCATCACACACAAACATCTCACAGGCACACACTACCCTTGCACACACCTTTGTGGGTAGCCCTTTCATCCACGTACCCCCCTGAGGAAGAAACTTCCCTCTAAGCTCATCCTTGCCTTGTGACAGATGAGAAAACCCAGCCCAACCCAACCCACACCAGTGCACAGTCTGCACTCTCCTCGCTGTGGCCAAGTGCTGACATTCTGAAGTCAGATCCAGTCCAGCTCCAAATTCTCCCAGCGACAGACAGGATGCCCTAGGCGGCTGAGGTCGCCCCTGCAACTCAGTTTCTCCATCTGTAAAATGGGGGCAAGAGAGAACACTGCCCTTCTGAGGTCAGCGCTGGTTTTCTCCTTCCAGGGTGCCTGGCCTCGGTTTTCTTCTCTGAAAAATGGGTGCACCTGTGCCCACCTCGGGAGAGTGATGGTCTGAGGATTGATCCCAGGCCGGGTGTGAAGAGCGGCGAGGCCTGTGCGCACAGCGGCTGTGGCGCGCCTGGCCCGGGCGTCTTGGCGGCCTGAATGGACGGGCCCCTCCGGCAGGGGCGGGGTAAGGCCCAGGATGGCTCCCCAGCGCCGGGGGTTTGATTCCCGGTCTCGCTGTCCAGTCCGCAGCACGTGGGGGGACATCTCCGAATCCGCACCTCCGCCCCCCAGAAGGGCCCCGCGGCGTGAGTGGGGCTCAGGTGCGGGCACCTGGCTCTTCTCCTGGCGGGGGCGCCCGACCCCCCGGGGCTCCTTCCGGGTTGGCAGCGGCGGCGCAGGGGGCGGGGGGCCGCGCGCGGGGCCGGGCGAGGCCGGATCGCGCCCCCGCCCCGCGCCCGCCTCCCGCCCGCCTCCTGCCGCTGCTCCGGGAGCCGCGAGCCGCGCGTCCGGGGCGACTGGCGGGCGGGCGGGCGGGGACGGCAGGCTGGGGGCGGCGGGCGCCGGGGGCCGCGCGGAGGGCCCCGGGCGCAGCATGGGCGGCCCGCGGGCCTGGGCGCTGCTCTGCCTCGCGCTCCTGCTCCCGGGGGGCGGCGCCGCGTGGGGCGTCGGGGGAGCCCCGTTCTCCGGACGCAGGTAAGGACGGCCCCGCCAGCACCTCTGCGGCCCGCCGCCGGGGCTGGCCCGGCACCGGCTCCAGGTGCCCCCCACACCCGGCTCCAGGTGCCCCCCACACCCGGCTCCAGGTGCCCCCCACACCCGCCCGCCGGGTCTCTGCGCGAGTCCGGGCTGAGGACGGGGACCCTGTCCCCCCCACAGAGCCAGCCCCGCATTGCGCTCCCGGCTGTCCGGCGGAGGCTCCTGGCGAGCAGGGGTCCGCTGCTCCCTGGGTCCAGAGCCAGCAGCCCCCAACGCCCGCGAAACGCCCACCACTTCACCCCTAGAACCCCAGAAAAGGGGGGGAGGGGCAAAACGAAGACGTCTCCCCGAAGCCCAAAAGCGCCCCTCTCTCTGAACATAGAAAAGATCCAGGACACCCCCAGCTGACTCTTGGGGATCCCCCTCCCTTTTCTCTGCTCCTGGCATTTTTTTTTTTTTTTCAGTACCCCAGCTATTTATTTCCCTCAGAGGAGGAAGGCTGGGGTGGGGCTTCGGAGCCGCGGGTCAGTGCTGGCCCCCAGGGACCTGGCATTTTGGACAGAGCCGGGAGGGAGCGCTCTGACTTCCTGCGGCGCGCGGGGGACGCCGGCTGTGCAGGCGCGTGGGGACCGTCTCCCCTGCTCGGGAGGCGGCCCCTTCTGCACTCTGTGGTGGGGAGCACTGCCAGGACCGAGGGGGTGGGGAGCACTGCCCCATTCAGCGGATGAACAAACTGAGGTCTCGGAATTCACGTGCTCAGGGACCGTTAATAGAAGCTTCTAGGCTCAGGCACTATTAATAGAAGAGCTGGGAGTCTGATCTGTCTTTCTGGCCTTGATGACGTGTTTGAACCAGACCCCGCCCCTGGTTGTCCCCTCTGCAGGGCCAGCCCAGTTGTCTGAGGCACACAATGCGGAGTAGCCAGGCCTTTTCATCCCATTCAAAGGCCTGCCTGGCCCCCACCCCCTGCGGCCTCATTTCTTTACTTCTTTTCAGAAATGCCTCTTCCCTCGTGGTCAGGGGCCAGCATGCCTCTGCTAGGCTAGCAAGAGCAGGTGACATAGACAAGGCTGGAGTGAGGGGACGGATGCCAAAAGAGCAGTTGAGACAGGGCTGGAATAGTGGCAGATGTCACAGCCATCACCTGCTGCCTGCTGGCCATAGTTTTCCGGGCTGGGCATTTTACCTGCCTCTGTCACCTCCAGAATCTTCCTGACTGCCAGAGACACATGCGTTTTTGTGGTCTTCGTTTCACAAAGGAGAAAACCGAGGCTCGGTGAGGGAAGATGACCTGCCCAGGATGTTAGCCCCCAGTTCAGATACTAAGTTAGCCCCCAGGATGTTAGCCCCAGATACTAAGATGACCAAGTCTCTGATTGGAATTCCCTGTGTCAGACTCAGGATGGTGGCTGAGAAGACTTAAGACCCGGACTGCCCTCCAGCCAGTCCAGGGCAGGGTCTCCCAGCACATGTTTTTCACCCCCAGGTCTTCCTTATGGGAACAGGACGGTGACTTATGTCCCTGGGGACTGGTACCCCATCTGTTCCTAGAAGGCTCACAGCTCTGAGCCTCACGCATGCCCGTGGACAACACTGTTGTTCCTGGTTTACAAATAAAACAGGCCTAGAGGCAAAGTGGAACCTCAGTCCCGCCAGCTAGTTTCCCATTCCAGTGTCTTTTTTCCAGCATCCCCCCACGCCCCAAGAAGGAGAGGGGTTGTCAGCTTGAGGGACTGGAAAAGGTTTGCAGGGCATGGTTGGAGTTAGGGGCTCTGGCTCCTAACAGGGTTATATTCTTGACTCTGTGGGTCACACTCAGGCAGGTCATGTCACATCCCTGGGTCTGTTTCTTTGCGTTTCCCTCTTTCCTCTCTTTGTGCCCTGCTCACAAGCTTGTTCTGAGGGTGGACAGTCCCCATGGGAAGGCCTGGTGCCTGACTCTCATAGGGTCATTGCTGCTATTGCCAACATTAGGTGGGGAAGGGGACCCCTACTCCAGGAGTCTGTGGTCTTCTGCTGCCAGAACCTCTCCTTGTGGCCCCAGCCCAGCATCGTTGGATACAGCAAGGGGCTGTCATGCTCCATCAGCCTCCTTCCACCTCCAGCCTGGAGCCTCAGGCACCCTTTGGCAGCCAAGGGACAGAGGCAGAAAAGAGGCTTTGTGCCTGGGGAGGGGGAGGCCTGGGAAGGCATCCAAGGAGCTGCCCCCAGCCCCAGGAATGTGGCAAGACTTTGAGACCCCCGGAAACTGGGTGCCCAGGGACTGTGCTGAGCTGCCTTGGCTTGCCACTGCCCCTATCCGCCTCCCAAGTTCCTGCTGGGGCGGCTTTCTGCCCCCCTGAAGTCCCTTCCAGCCTGCATCCTATTTCTTTCAACGACCCCTCTGTGACTCTGGAGTTGAAGCCGTCACCAGCATCCTGGCCCAGATTTCTTCCCCATGGAGTTCTGGCATCCTTGGGACCATTCCTAGCACCAAGGAGAGTGGAGCATTCCTAAATGGATGGCGTCTTCCCCAGCCCTCTGCACAGAGCTCAAGTCCCAGCTCTCTGCCCACATGCGTGAACGGGGCAAGTGACTTACCTTGGCACCTGTTTTGCCCTCTGAATGTCTCATAGTCAAGACCTTGTGTAGAAGGCATTGTGACAATGTTCCCAAGCCCCAGGGCCACAGCGGCCTGGTATGGGGCCAGTGTCACAGTCCAAGAACAAGAACTAGCAGCTGTGTGCTTTGGGAGATTCTGCCCGAGGAGATTCTGCTATCCCCATCTGTAGATGGACAAAGTGAGGCCCGCTGAGCATCAGGGCCTGTGTAAGGTCACTGAGTTAGGGAGCAGGAGAGTCAGGATGGAAACATCACCTCCAGTGTGGGGTTCTGGTTTTAGTCACCCCACCCCCACCCTGTACGCCTCCTGTCTTTCCTCTCCTTTTCAATGCAGCCCTTGGCTCCCCTGGCCTCCTTGGTTGCCTTCTGCAATTAGGCCTTATCACTGTTCCAGATCACATCCCTGGGCCCTGTGGAGACAAAGTCCCCTGGGCCCCTCATGGCAGGAGGTAGAGGGCAGGTGGGGGAGCCCTCGTGGGGGTGACTGATGCCAAGCTAAGCTGGTCTGGCCTGTTTTCTCTCCTCCCTGCAGCCTTTGGGGGCCCAGGAGTTGCTGAGTGGGCAGAGTGGCAGGCTCAGGAGAGAAGTGCTACCCCCTCCCAGCCCCTGCCATGGCCCATGCCACAGGAGGTGGGCCTGGAGCAGCTTGTCACCAATCAGGACACTGGAAAGGAAGTCCCCCAGATGTAGCGGGTTAGAGGCGGGGCTTCCAGGTATTAACACCCACCTCAATAAACTCTAGTACTGCCTCTTTGGCACAGGGCCTCCGTTAGGTCTTGGTCATTCAGTCATTCAGCAGACCTCCCTGAGTGCCTGGGACTGAGCCCTATACTGGTCCCTGCCAATGCCCTCCCCCAGCTTACCTGAGAGGAAACTAGGAGGTACGGCTGTGAGTATGTGAGGGGTCTCCTGGGAGTGCCCTGGCCAGCCTGGGGCCTCAAGACTGAGACCCTAAGAATGAATAGGAGTATTGAGGGTGTGGGGGTGGAGGAGGAGGGCTTTCCATGCAGAGGGAAGATCTTATGCAAAGATCTGGGTTGTGGGAGAATTCAGCACCTGGGAAGAAGGTCAAAGAGAGAAGGCATGAATGTGTGGGAGAGGCAGGCAGCGTGCAGGACAGGGCTTGCAGGCAGTGGCGGCTGTGGTGGGCTGTGCTCTCCAGGCAGGTGGTGGCACCATTCAACCCGTGCTTTAGAGAGAGCTGTCCCGCTGCCCCCGGAAAGTGGACGGAAGGGCAAGGGTGTGGCAGTCAGGCTGGAACCCTGTGGAGGAGCTGGGGCTTATCCTGGAGATAGGAGGGCTGGGGTCTTCAGGGCCAGGGAGGAGTGGTGTGGTTATTGGTGACCTCAGGGAGAGGGAGAGCTGTGCTGACCTTGAACCTGGCCCGAGTGTGTAAAATGTCTGCTCAGTGGGCTGCCAGCTCCATGTCTCCTAAGCAGGAGATTCACGCAAACTGCAGCTTGTGGGAAATGAGCTAGCAACATGGAAAAGATTTAATTAAGGAAGGGGGGAAATTGTCTTCTCTACCTTGCCCCCCGTATAAAGAGGGGGCAGGCAGCTCAGGCAATTGTGAGCGCTCACAGACCCACCTCCCACCGCCTACTCCAGGGGCTCGGGAGGCAAAGTGTGTGCATGGGTGTGTGTGAGGACACAGGGCCCTGCGTCTGCAGGTGTGGGGTGCAGGGAAGACAGTCATTTCTGTCGCTACGTGATCTGCTTGGCTTGCTTGTGTGCTGATGTGGGTGTGTGTATACAGGCACGTGGGCATGCATGTTCAGGAGCTGTGAGCACATGTGTCTATGCGTGTGTGCCTGTGCATCTGCATGTGTGCTCACCATGTGCATAGTGATGTGTGGGCACACATTTGCATGCATGTGCCTGTGTGTGTGTGCATCTGTCCACTGGCATCAAGTCTGAATTCCGGGTCCAGGAACGCCCTCCTTTATCTAGAGATTCTGACTGTCCTTTGCCCAGGCTGCCCCCTTCTCCCTCCCTCCTTCTCCCATTCAGAGTTCCTGGGCCAGCGTGGGGGAAGTCCCTCACGCTTCAGGGAGACTCCTAAATTTATACCCCAAGTTTCATGCCTTTTTCTTGTGAGTATCTGCGACGACATCGGTTTCCCAAAGAGGTTATGTCCTCTCCCTGAAACAAAACCCTGACGGTTTCAAAACTGCAGCACTAGAGGCCCAGAAACTCTAAAGGGTGTGTGTGGGAAGATCTTTTAAAAATGAATCGTTTTAAACTTCCACCAGCTCTTTAGGAGAAACATTTCCGGCCTGAAGTTGAGTGCTAGCTTCGGGTCACCTGGACCTGAGTTCCAGGTATGCTGTGCTGCTCCCATGGGTGCCTAGGGCACATCCTGGAACCCAGAGCCTCAGCCTTCCGTGGGTAAAGCGGAGCTTGTGGCTGGGTGCATGGGAGGCCCTGGGCACAGCTCCTGGCAGCAGGTGTGATGAGCAAGGTGCTGTGAGCACAGGAGCTGGAAGGGAAGGGAATCCCCTCCCCACCCCCCAGAGGTGCCCCTGATGTGAGTGGTGATTTCCCCTAAATCAGGCTCACTCTTGCATGTATGTAGATGTGAATACACACATATAAATAGTCATTTGGTTTTCTCTCCTTTTCTTATTTTAGTAGGAATGCAACTGCTCTCTAGCTTTCAGTTTGCACATGTTTTATTCCCTTAACCAGGCTGGGTGGTCTGCACATCTCCACCTTGGGCTCTGTCACAGCATCTGGTTTTTCAGGTCTTGTGTTGCTGTTTAGCCTACTCCCCATTGTGTGTTATCCCCTGTGCTGCAATAAGCACCTGTCACCTCTGTCCTAGGACACCTGGCCAAGAGCTGTGTTGAGCTCCTGCCGCTTCAATGGGCCGAACAGAAACATCCCTTCTCCCTGCTCCCCCACCTCCGTGCCTTTGGCTAGGCTGTGTCCTCCTGCTTATCAGATTCTTGCACAACACAGAATGCTAGACCTTGGGGTCCCAGAGCAAGCTCATCAACTGGTCCCAGACAAGGACTTTCTCCTTAGGTAGACTGGGGTAGGGGCAGGCAGTAGCCCAGGTGCTGGATTTCACTGATGACAAGCCCCTCTGTGATGGCTGGAACATTCCAGATGCTCAGCGGCCCTCAACTCTGCATGGGGTCATGGACCCTGCATTTTTTGCCAAGCTGGGGGAGGTGCCATTTCAGGTGACCCTTCTTAATCTGAGTCCCCCAACCCACCAGAATTTCCTTTGTGGCCTCTAGCCCAGGGTCCGCAGGCTCCCAGGCTGGCACCTCCACAGAGCCGTAACCCATGGCCCAGGAGATGGGTGCTGAGGTGCTGGGATGGAGTCACTTTCCTGGGTTCAAATCCAACTTTACCATGCGCCAACTCTGTCACCTGAGAAGTTGTTTTTCCTCTCTCTGGGCCTCAGTTTCCTTCCCCATTAAGTGTGTGTGCTTTGGGGGAGGGTGGGTACTACCATGGGAAGATGATATAAATACCTTTAGCAGACAGTAAGTGCTCAATATATGCAGCATAATGTGATTATTAGTTCACATTTGGGCAAGTCAGTCCTCCACGTTTGGAACATCAATTGTGCACCCCGGCTGTCACACAGAACGAACACGAACACAAGATGGGCCTCTCCTCTGGCCTGCCCGGAGAGGGAGGGGCTGACACGTGTCAGCAGCTTAGCTCTGCATGACGGCTGTACAGAGGGCTGCACATCCAGGGTAGGGAACCTTCAGTTCTGCTCTGGTCGGGATGGAGGTGGGACAGGACAAGAGAGAAGTGACCGTGCACTGGGACTTTGAAGGTAGGAGGTGTCCGTTAGGGAGAAGGGGGATGGGTGCTCCAGGCGGGGGCCCAGCATGAGCAAAGTCCTGGAGGTCAGAGATCCATGGCCCGTGTGGCCCTGGAGACCCAGGGGATGGGGCTAGGCAGGGGAGGGCAAGGCTAGGTTTCCACTTGATGACATTCTCTAGGGAGAGCCAGAGGGGAAAGGCGGAGGGGCCATTGCTGTTGTCCAGGCGGGAGGCAGGGGGCAGTAGTGACCTGGATGGTCAGGATGGAGAGAAGAGATGTTGAGGAGAGGGAGCCTCAGGGAGGACACCCTGTTCCCATCTTGCCCCCTGCAACTCATCCTTCAGGAGCCCCCAAGAGCACCCTGCACGGCCATCCCCTCTAGACCAGCACAGGCAGCACCGAGATTCCCATCGGGGCTCTGAGAGCTCTGGAGTCTCTCTGCCAGGAGACTTAGGGGTTCCTGGAGATAACACGGGTCTCTACCTGTGCTCTCAGAGGCCTTGGCAGGGGTTTATGCATGGCCCCTGAGCTCGTTCTCTGTGGATCTATTTCAGAAACTGGTGCTCGTACATAGTGACCCGCACGATCTCATGCCACGTACAGAATGGTACCTACCTTCAGCGAGTGCTGCAGAATTGCCCCTGGCCCATGAGCTGCCCAGGGAACAGGTAAGTGAGCCGGTGGTAGAGAGGGAGCTAATGACATTCCAGGTTGAGACACAGCTTGAGCAAAGGCCTGGGGTGGGACTGCATCAAGAACGCGGGGAAAGGAATGCTGGGACCCCAGGGGTGAGTGAGGCAAAGGGAACCTTACCCTCTGCCCACTCAGCACCTCCCCTTGTGCTCTTGAGCTTCCTGGGGGAGGGAGTCCACCGTCCACCCATGTGCCTTCTCTCAGTGAGTGTTCATTGTTGGGGACAGGCCTTACAGGGCTGTCTTAAGGGGCTACCTGCCCAGATGGTATCCAGATCCCCCCACTGGGAGGCTGGGAGGGAGTGGAAGAGCCGGGTCCTCACATGTAAGAGAGACGCTCCCTGGGGCCCTGGAGGTGGTAGAGGCCCCGGAGACCCTGGGTTTGTTCTCATGGACAGTGGGAGAGGGTGTGGAAGACCCTGTCTGAGCTGGGCCCCCTGGGCACTCTTTCAGCTACAGAACCGTGGTGAGACCCACGTACAAGGTGGTGTACAAGACGGTGACTGCTCGAGAGTGGAGGTGCTGCCCCGGGCACTCGGGGGCGAGCTGCGAGGAAGGTAGGACTGCCAGCTGGCTCCTGGAGGTGCAGGCCAGGTGCAGGCCAGGTGCGTCCCCTGGTGCGTGGGAAGGAGAGGTAAACAGTGGCTGGTCGTAGATGCTGCAGTGCACCATCAAGTGCACCCTGGGGCTTGCTGCATAGAGTTAGTGCCAGCTATGCCCTTGGTGTTGAGCTCCTGCCCCGCGGGGCCCTCAGGGCTCTTGGAGGATCTTCATACACATGGTGTGGCTCTCTCCTTAAGTCATGACATCCCGGCCTTTCCAAACTTGGGGAAAACCCATGCAGACGTTCCCATGGGATGTGGCAACAGATAACGCCTGGAAGCAACGTGCCTCTGGGTGAGTGGAGACTTGTACCCATCCTGCAGGTGGCGAAACCGAGGTCAGTAAGGTGAGGGGCACACAGCTCCCCTGTGACAGTCAGGATTTAGGGAGGGAAGATGTGACCAGGTGCCTGGTGTGGAGTGTGCTCCAGCAGAGGGACCCCTCTCACCTCACCCCCTCTTCTCTGCATGCACCAAGGGTGGCTCAGGGCCAAGCACCCAGCAGGGGAACAGAGGAGGCCTCCAGGAGCCAGCACACTAGACCTGGAGTCTCCTCTCCCCACAGGCACCTGCCTCTTTGAGGGCATCCATCCCCACGACCTGGCTGAACACAGTGAATATAAGTTTGGGGGTACTGGGGGCTGCATTCCCAAGAATGTCCCTAAAGGGGATGGACTGGCATAGAAGCAGCTCCAGACCTAGGCTGTGGACACGTCAGTGGAGATTCTCTCCAGGGTTCTGACCCCAGAGTACCACATTGATGTGAATGCAGATCACAAGACCTCCAGAAACAGAGGTGTGAAGCACGCCTCCCCGTCAGGGGACGCTAACAGAGTCACTGTGTTTGGTGCTTCCCAAGAGACTTACACACTTCACCTCCCGGAGACCTGACCAGCTCCAGTCCACAGTGGGTGTCCGAGGCCTGGAGAGATGGGTCCAGGGCCCAGAGTCACTCCGGGTAGGGCCAGAGCTCACCAGGAAGTGGGCCACAAAGGGAACCTGATGGTTTCAAGTGGGCTGGGAGAATCCTCGACAGAGCTGGGGAAGAAAAGCCGATGGGAGAGGGAGCTGCCCGAGCCACAGCAGGTGTTTTGGGCCCAGAGACAGCTATGAAGGCCAGGATGGGGCTGGGAAGGGAGATGTGAAGGGAGCCGGGAAAGCACCCTCCCCTCCCTGCTGGGGGAAAGCAGGAAAGCAGAAGGGCCCCAGGGACAGAAAGAGAGCCAGGGGGCTGCTGCCGAAGAGGCCACCTGGGCCTAGGAGGGCTGCCCCAGACCAAGGCCACTTTGTCCCTGACTCCCCTCTCAAGGACAGAAAACCCCAGTCCTTGGGACCATCATGGAGCGGGTGAGGACAGGATGGGTGGGGGCAGAACACATGCCCTTGAGTTCAGCAGCTGGAGGCCAGGCTGAGGGCTAGGGGAACTGCTGATGCAAGGCAGGCCAAGTCGCTCCCCACACCTGCCCACTCCCTCTCAGGTCCCAGCTTGGGGAGGGCTGGGAGTAGCCTGGGTTTTGTGGACCAGCTGTGTGGCCTTGGGCCCGGGACTCCCTGTGCATTGTACAAGTCATTGTGCAAGAGCCTGGGGGGGCAGGGGGTGGCGGGCTGGGCTGGAGGGGAGAGCTGGGAGTGGGGAGCTGCAATTCAGGCAGCTCTCATGCCCACTCGGGTAGACACCCCTTCTCTAAGGGGCCTTCTCTAAAGGGCGGTGCACTTGCCGCAGCCTTGGGTAGCCCCCAGCCTCAGTGCCCTCACCTATGAAATGGGCAGGCTAAAAGAGACTACTCCCAGGGATGTCGCCTCAGGGTAGCACGGCAGCCTGTGGTGCCCTGGGATGAGAGTCGCACAGGAAGGCCTCTCCCCATGCCCATAGGATTGGAGTTGAGTAAAGACATGCTTAGGCCTGAATGTTCTGGAAAACTGCTCTGCCGGGACCATGGGCGTGAGGGGCAGGGAAGCATAGGGACATTGCTGACCACCCGGCCCTGCCCTTCCTCTGACAGCTGGCTGCAGCTGGGCCTCTGGCTGTTTTCCCTGCTGGTGACTGCACTCATTGTCTACGGGGTGCTATGACGTGACCCTGGGGCCATAAAGCTGTGACGTGACCCTGGGGCCATACAGCTGTGTCATCAGGAACGACAGGGCCCAGGGCAGCCTGGGTGAGCCAGAGAGGGAAAAGGAATACCTATCATTCCAGAATCCAGCCCTGCATGAGCTACACTTGGTGCGTGAGCTTCACCTCTCTGAAAGTCACCTGGAATTGGGTGACTTTTCCTCCTCTCTAGCCCTGTCTGGGGGGTTCTGTGGTGGCCCTCAGAGACCACCTCTGAGAACCATTTTTCAGCTGCTCAGCAGAAATGTCTTTGGAGTCTGCAGACTTGATGCTCAGAAGGCCAGCAGATTTCACAGCTGAGTGCTGGTTTTCCCCTCTGCAGAATGGGAATGTTCAGTATTGTACTGATGAGTGGGAATGGTCTCTTTGATGTTCTTGAAAACCCTTGAGGAAGAGGCTGAAATGGCTTCATTTTACAGATGGGGAAACTGAGGCCCAGAGAGACAAAGGGGCTGGTCTGAGATCCCTCACAGCTAGGATGGGGACTGGCCTGACCTAGGATCTGTCAGTGCCTGCTCGCCTTGGGAGGTGGGGCTGCATGGCAGGGAGCCCGGCGGAGGCTCTCACTTGCCGCCTACTCCCTGGCTGCCTGCACCCACCAGGAAAAAAAATAGACGAGGAAGGGCCAAGAATGCTCCATGTGACCTTGTCCCACCCCACCCCTCACCCCCACCCAGTGCCCCAAGCTGGTGGGTTTTGCTGTGGCCTCAGGGTCATCCTGCCTCTGGGGACTCCCTGCAGGAACTCCCTGCCTCTGGGGACTCCCTGCAGGCTAATCTCTCACCTCTCAATCTCATTGTCTAGAGTAGGAGAATAAAGCTCAGAGAGGGTGGGGTCTCACCGAAGGTCACCTTGCAAATAAGCGAGGTGGCCAGGACGCTCTCTCTCTCCACTCTCCAGGACTCTGACCTGAAATCTGCACACCATCCCCCTGCCTCAGGGCTTCCGGCACTGGTAATGTGGAGGACCCTTCCCCATCCTCCTCCTGCTGGGCTCCGTGACTAAGCACTCACGGTATGGTGCCATCATGTTGTGTGCAGAAGATCCAGATGTGGAAATCGAGCTTGGGAGAGGGGAATACTTTGCTCCAGGTCACAGTTAATTCAAAGCCTGTCAGTCTGACCCTGGGTTATTCAGTCCAGCCAGCAGCACTGGCTCCCGGCAGAGAGTGTTCAGACCATGGGGATGAAGCTGGCAGATGCCTCTCCCAGATGGAAAGACAGAGGAGTTAGGGGCTCCTTCGGAGTCCTCTCCCCAGGACTCCACCTTCAGACTGGGTGGCCTCTGGTGCTTCCCGCTCACACTCCCCACTGTCCTTGGCACATCTGTCCCACTCCCTCCACGGACCCCCACGACCCTTGTCCTCTGTGACAGGGAACCAGGGAAAGGAAGTTCGCCCAAGATCACACAGCAAAAAAAGCTTAAGACAGACTGGAGGTTCCACCCAGGTCCTTCTGGCACTGACCGCTCTACCATTGAGGGCTGGGTGCTGCTTCCCTCCTTCACTGGGTGCTCTAACGAGGAGCCGAGTATGGTGCCAAGCCTATGCTTGGGATTCAGAGTCCCTCAAGCTAAACTTTGCACAAATCTACCCGTGTCTACCACCCATCTAGTCCCTTTTGCCTGGGAGGCCTGGCGGCCTCTACTTCTCAACTCTGGCCAGTCTGTTTTCTATCCCCAGTCAGGAGCCCAGCCTCTCCACCCTCGTGGCACCCTATTGATGCACCCCAGCATTACCCTGCCTCCATTTTGCCCCGGACTGCACTGGCCTTCTTACTCCATGGCCTTGGCAGTGGCTATCCACTCTGCCTGCCACCTTCTTGGGGCTCCCAACTGGCTACTGTGGCCCCCACCCTGCTGTCATTATGTTATAGGACAGGGAGAAGGGCAGCCCAAACCCCGCAAACCTGCCTATTCTACATGGGTTCTGCCATCCGCCGCATCAACACAAAACATAGGAGACTTTAATGGGAAGGAACTTTAATAAAACTAGGAAACAATACAGGTAAGGCAAAGAGTCTAGTTTCTAGTCTAGTTTCTAAATGAAGCATCCAGAGTTACCCGTCCCCTCATGGGTAAAAGTCCATCCAAATGGGATTGGCCCAGAGCAAGGCCCCAAGGCCTGCCACAAGTCTAAAGCATCTTCCAGTGGGGACCCACAGAAAAGGGTCACAAACAACTGGACAAGCCCGGAAGGAAAAGAGCAAAATCAACATCAAGATAAAAGCTGCCATGGTCACCTCCCCACGGGTCTCACCCACATCTGTGTCACCCCGTCCACGACCAAAAGACAAGCGCAGCTTCTTCACATGTCTCTAGGCTCCATGCGCCTCCTCCAGGTCTCCTGGCTCCATCCTGCTTCTTTCCTCAGTCTCTTCTGCAGCTTCTCCTCTTCCTGCTCAGCTCCACCCTCCCTTGGGAGGGGCAGGGAACCTCCCCCTTTCCTGGGGACCACCCTGTTGCAATCACAATGGTCTCTCCAGTGCCTGGCAGAATCTGGTGTAAAGTGGGTACATGGGAAATGAATGGGAACCTCATTTTACTGGCAGAAGGGGGCCAGGTGGGACTCGGACTGAGACTTCCCAGAGGCCTGCTAAAGGATTCTTGGGAGCTTCCGGCCCCAGCCCTGACCCCAATCCTCAGCTCAGACCAACAGCAACAAATATTTACATTTACAAAAAAATTCCCAAGAGGAGAATGGGTTGGGATGGGGGAGGCAGCACCACTGTGGCTGCGGTCACAGGACCCAGAAGACCTGGGAGTGACTTGTGAATGAGGGAACCCCTTTCTTAGACCCTCTCCTGAGAAAGTCAGAGGTAGAGGCTATGGACCACCCCAACTTCTCACACCCCCATTCAGGGTTGGAATCCAGTTCCTCCGGTCCTGCCATGTGGACAAGTAGCTTCTCCATTCTGGGCCTTAGTGTTCCAAGGAGGACCCAATGGAAAGGGGGCACTGAGGCTTCTCAGGCCTGGCACTGGGCAGAGAGAAGGGCAGCTGCATTTGGGGGCAGCGGGCTAGAAACTGCAGGTGGCACAGACCTTGTGGAGGTCAGGACAAGGAGACATCAGAGCTTCAAGGGGGGCTTTGAGAGTGTCCTGGGGTGATCACTGGTGCCCTGGTCTCTCCTGCGAAGGCTTCCTGGACAAGGTGACATGGGAGCGTCAGCTACAAGAATTGGAGTGGGGGAGCTGTGTGTGTTGGGACCCCTTTAGTGGTGGGAAGTGACCCAAAGTCAGGCTCCCAGAGTGAAGGTGGGGTTTGTGGTGCCCAGACCAACCAGGAACTCCTGAGGGGGTGAAGCTGGGGCTGGGGCTCCCGAGGATGGACCACCCCGCGGGGGCCTGCCCCAGGGGCCGGGCTCAACACCACTCTGTCCTGCAGGAAACCTCCCCCAACCCACGGCTTTTTCCTTAGTGGAATTTTGTGGGGGGAGGGCCATTTGACAACCTGGTTTGTCCTTTAAGTATTTCTTCCATTTGCCAGAATGTGGGGCATATTTTTTGTGAATCCTGAATTCAGAGCCAATATTTTCTGGCCTTTTTGACAGTTTTGTTATTTCTTTAAAACTTTTTTTTTTTTTTTTTAACTCCCATGTAGTTGGAGCCAGTTCTGTCTGCCTTGCTGGTCAGGCCTTGTTTTCGTTTGTGCTTCTGGTCCTCTCTGGCTCCTAGTGAAATATCCAAAAGCAAACTGGCCGTAACAGAATTTCCAACCACAAGTTCACAGATTCTAAGTCGGGGACACCCCGGTGCCACAGTAACAGAACTTTAAACTCACTTTCAAGACCGTTGTGTCTGCCATCCATCTTATTTTGATTTTATTTGCTTGTTTTAAGTTCATTTTCAGACAGTGATTCAGCAACAAATGGTTTATTTGTTGAGGCCCTACTGCGTGCGGGCACTTTTCCAGGTTGGACACAAGACAGATGAAGCCCTGGTGGGGCCTCGTATTCCAGCCCGGGGGCGGACAGTCAGCAGTAGACTGGGGAACTGGCACAGCAGATGCCAATTTAGAGGGTGGAAAGAGCCATGGAAAAAAAGGGAAAACGATAGCAGCGTGGTGGGAAGAGTAGGCAGGGGAGATGCTTTGCCAAAGCTTCATCCCCAAGAAAATTCAAACTTGCACAGGGCTGGAGGGATGGCGGCTTCTTTTGTTCGGCCTCTTAGAAAGCGTCATAAAATGGCACGTTACAGCTTCACCTGGGAGCAAAGAGGATGAGGAGGGCCCGGGGAGGCCATTCTCAGGAGGCAGGGGCCTCTCAGCCTCTGCCCAGTGGGACTCGGGCACTAACATGAGGTACCAGGTGGCCCTGGAGGTAGACTAATCTGGGTTCAAATTCAGGCTTCAACCTTCAGGTGGACTCTTGACCGCTCCGCTTCCTCTGCCCCATTCAGGGCCCCTCCCCGCCCCCCCTCAGCGAGAGAGCTTCATACTCACTCAGCCATTTATCTGAGCATGGGGGGCAGTGCAGAGCTGCTCAGTGCCTCAGTTTCCATGTGTTTAAAGTGGGGGTGATACTAGCATTCATTCCCGGGTTTTGTGAGGATTCTGAATGAACACGGTATATGTGAAGTGCTCAGAATGGGCCAGGCCCAGAGTAAGTGCTAAACAAATGTTAGCTGATGTTGCCTACCGCGTAGGATCCAGCGGGACTGCATAAAGCACTTCACACTGGGCATGGCTTTTGGTGGCATCCTCCCTCCACCCACCCTACCCAGAGAACCACCCCCTCACCCCCCCACACCCCCCACCACTGACTCTGCCCCAGTGGCCTGGGCTGCCAACCCACCTTTCTGTGTCCTGGGTGAGATTTACCCCCTGCACCAGGGCAAGTCACTGGCCCAGGAGGGCATACTGGGGATACACGCCCAGTCTGAGCGAAGGCCCCGTGGTGGGACCCAGAGCAGAGTCTGGCAGTCTCTCTGCTGGGGCCTGGCCAGAGGGACCCGTCTGGTTTGAGTTCCTGGCGCCTCTCACTCCCTGTACCAACCCACAGCCTGGCTTTGAGCTGCCAGGCCTGTGCCTTATTTGGGTCTTGTCTCCCCCCAGACGACACTTCGTGACCTTAAAAGGCAAGCGGGGGGGGGCGGGAAGCAGAGTGGAGCAGTTGCCACTCCTGACTCCAGAGCCCTTCCAGCTGCACCCCCCAATCCTGGCTTAGCCAGAATGTCCCTCCAGCTGTGGAGAAAACCAGGCCCCTTAAGCCACACCAGCCTGAGCAGCCTGTTCCTCGTGGGGGTGGCAGTGGGGGGTGGGTCCCCTTGCCTTCCCAGGCAGCCAGCCTCCCTCTGGTTTTCATTTAAAACCAGGGCTGGATCCACTTCACTGCCCACCAAGGGGGCAGGGCAAGAGCAGACAGTGATATTGCAGCTGTGGCTTACTAAACACCTACTGTGTGCCAGATCCTGTGTGTGCACAGTGGATCTTTTGCACAAGGCCAACCTCAGGTTTCACACCAGCTGAGGAGGTACAGAAGCCTCAAGATCCCATTTAACAGATGGGAAAATAGGTTCAGAGAGGAGAAGTCACACAGGTCAGCAAGTGGAAGGGCTGGGACCCCACCTTGCATGTGGCTCTTCCCGTGCAGCCTGCCCGGATGGCTGCCCCTCTCGCTAGCCCCATCAAGTTGGCAGCCTGTTCTGGCCCATCCGGGTTCATTCTGTGTGACCCAGGTAAACTGCTCCACCTCTCTGGGCCTCTGTCTCAGGTTAAGTTAAGGGGAGCAGGGAACCCTGTTGGGGCTACGATGGAGATGGGAGCATCTGGCAGGATAAGATGGGGGCGAAGCAGCAGGGATCTCACCCCCTGTCCTTCAGTTGCAGGCGCCTCTGGCTTCATCGAGCCAGGGTGGTCAGGCAACACCATGCGGCGGATGGCGCTTCGGCCCACAGCCTTCTCAGGTGGGTCCTGGGGTGACTGCTTGGGGTCCTCCTGGGCTGGAGAGGGGTCTGGAGGGGCAGGGACAATTTAATAACTGTTCTGAAACCCAGCGGGGTCCAGCAGCACAGGGTCAGGGATAACCCCTGCCTTTGCCCACCCTGAGCTGGAAAGAAAACTGGGAGGGGGACAGGAAGGGCCCCAGGGGAACATCTGACCTGGATCTAGGTACCCCAAGACCCGTGACCTCTGAACTCTTGTAGACACACCCACTTTCCCTTTTTTACTTAAATTATCTGAGTGTCTGCGATGTTCGAGGCACCATGCCAGGTGCTTTCCATCATCAACTTGTTTGAACCTCACAGCTGTCCCCCCACCCCAGGAAGGTATCATTGTCCCAATTTTAAAGAGGAGGAAGCTGATGGTCAGAGAGGGGGCATGCCCTGCCCAAGGCCCCCACTGCCAGGAAGGGGCAGCACCGGGACTGGACTCCGGGCTTTGTGCTTGTTAAGCACTCACTCCACCCTTGCTCTGAGCTCGGTGTCCTCTGGTGTGAACCGGGTGACACTGGAACCATAGCACCAGGGGGAGGCCTGGAGACCTGCAAGCAAGTGCTCAGCCAGTGCCCTGCAGCTGAGGAACAAAGCCCTCGCGACAGCCTGGCTTTGTTGAGGAGACAGAGGCGCTGGACAGCGGTTCAGGAGGGGGTGTCAAAGGGTGGTACCTCTGAAGCAGTCTGTCCACACTAGGTTAGTCCCAAAGCCCACAGGCCCAGGCCAGCCCTACTCAGGTGGGAAACAGCTGGATTTCCCACCCTGGCTTCCCGGAAAGGAGTGACTTTGGATGCAGAGGCTGCAGGAGTCTGTCCCCTGGCTCTGCTCTGGGAGAAATGGTCCATTCTGGGGGTGCTGGAGCCAAAGGAGACCTGCAGGGCCTGGTCCCCCCTGGACCCACTGTGACTCAAGTCCCTTCCCTAAGGTGAGCTACCTAGTGGGTTAGGGTCATCAGGCATCTGTCCCTTCCCTCCATCCTGCCTCTGGGGCTAAGGGGCTTCAAGGGGAAACCTGGGACCGCTGACCCCACTCCTCCTCCCCCCTCCCTGCAGGTTGTCTCAACTGCAGCAAAGTTTTGGAGCTGACTGAGCGGCTGAAGGTGCTGGAGGCCAAGGTGAGCAGCTGCCCCCTCCTCCAGCCTCCCCGCCCCCACTCCTGCACCCACCATGCTCAGTGTGCCCACAGTGCAGATCTGAGCAGCTATTCAGCACCCATGCGCAGGAACCACCCATGCCAGGCAGCAACCACCCTCGCATTGCCCACCTAGCCTTTTCGGTCTCCCCTCCAGTGCCCCTCCTCAGGAAACCTGGGCAGACACAGTCAGACAGCCTGGCCTGCTCTTCCTCTAGGAGACCTGAGAAGATTCCCCCATGCACCCTATCCCCACCCACCCCGGACAGATATGCATAGCTACCCCCAGAACTTGGGGATGGATCCCCTCCTAGCCCCTGTCACCTTCATCCTTTGTCCCCTTCCCATAATACTGTCTTGCCAGCTTCAAAAGCAAAATATCTACTGCCCTTCCCAAATTATATGAAGATTAAATGGTTTTAGCAATTGAAAAATAGGTCATTAAAAATTTAAAAACGTGAGAAACCCAGCACAAAGCCATTCAATCATCTTGCCTGTGCCCCTAGAGAGAGCACCTGTCAGCATGTAAGCATCTGTTCTTCCAGATTTTCTAAAAGACACATACACATTCCATCTACCTATCTTCCTACATCATTCCCTCCTCTGGGAAACTGTCTTAAGGAAATAGATGTGGAGGCCTCCCTGGTGGCACAGGGGTTAACGACATAGTGCTATCAATCTAGCTGGCTATCGCTAGCCACTGTAGCACGTGTTCAGTCCCCAGCCAGGGAGCCACCTACATGGCGCAGCAGACCTCTCCTGTCTCGCCCGCTGCTCCCCTCGGCAGTATATTCCAGTCAGTCTGCCTGTTCTGCTCCCCGCTCTGTCTCTGGTGAGTCCTCTCACACACCCCACCCCACACCTTTGGCCTACACCCCAGTTCTTATACACATAAATAAATAAATCTTTTTTTAAAAAAGGGAAATTAGATGTGAAGTTGTTTGTCAAAGTGCTAAATATTAAAAGTGAAATTGGAAAATCAGACAACAGAAGTGGTGGTCGCATAATTGGGGAGCAAGTCTCTGTGGAATACTAGACAGCCATTAACCACGCCTCTATTTTCTAACATGAAAAGATGCCCCAGTGAATCCAGCGGAGAAACCAAACTTTCAGACAATATGTGCTAGAACCCAGTTACAAGGAATGAGAACCCCAGAATCCCACACTCTCCCCCAAGCTCCTACCCAGAAGGAGCCAGCCTGAGGGACAACTCAGTCCCAGATCTGAGTTTCAGCTTTTCTGAGGTCCGCTTATCCCCCACAGCCCAGTCAGGGGGCACTCTGGCCTCTATTTCATCCTCAGTCAGCAGCTGGCTGGGGTGGGGGCTGGGGGGAGGTGGTGACCTTTAGAATCTTCCCCACACTGGGTTCAAAAGTGAATTCTACATACACATGTCAGGGCCTTATGTCAGAGCCTCCCCACTTTCCAAACTTCCCTCCAGATTTCCTGAAAAGTCTTTTGGCCATAACCACCTGGTGCTTTAAAAAACCAAGAGAAATTTCACATCATTTGCACAGGCAAGTGTAAGAAAAAAACTTTGTGACCCAGCAAACAACATCACATTCATGGAACTCAGCCTGGGGGCAGTGATGTTGGGGATCGCCTTCTCTACAGTGAATGTGATGAATTGTGCAGTTTGAAAGCCACTGTCAATCTGATGAAATCCTGGGTCCCTTGGCCAGCCTGTCTCTGCTGAGACCCTGGGAATCTGCCCTCTCCCTATCTGCCTCTTCCTCCACAGGTAGCAGTGCTCACTGTCCCAGAGCAGGCAGTACCCCCAACCCCAGCTGCCCCTGAGGACCCTGCCCCACTCTGGGGCTCCCCAGCCATCCAGGGTAGCCCCAGGGATGGAGGCCTCCAAGGTGAGTGGGTTGGGGGCAGCCTGTGTGGGAATGAATTGGGGGCATGAGAATCCACCCTGCTTTTGACTCCCCACTTGACCCCCTAGTGGGTCCTGATCTTCCCAGCTCTCCAGTGGGCCTGAGGGGGTGGTTTCTAAAAGACCTGAGCACGGAAGTCCTAGGAAGCCCAGCCAATTCTGTCCCTGAGGGAACTGGGGGCAGGGATGCTGGATGACACTGACCTGCCCACCATCCCACTCCAGGACTACCAGGAGCCAGAGAGAACTCCAGGGCCCCACTGCTCCCTCGAGATGGTAGGTGCTGGCCAGGCCCAGGCCCGGGATCTGGCAAAAGCAAGGCTGCGGCTGCCACACTGATGAGTTTTCTCCCCTAGATGGAGTTGGCATCCAGGGGCTTCCTGGGCCCACTGGCCCCAAGGGAGACACTGGCAGTCAGGGCCCCATGGGGATAAGAGGCCCACCAGGTAAGTGCCTACAGTACTGCCCTCCACCCCGCTCCCCAACAAGCATCCCAGATGGACCCAGGTTGGGGGTCTTCCTTCCTTTCCCAGTCCTGATCTAGCGAGAAGTGGCCCAGGTCCCTTCCACCTCATTGTCTTTCAGCTCTACCACCTCTACCACCTGGGTTCCCCAAAACTTTCCTTTGCATTCATTTGGTCCATGCTCCCCAGGAACCTAGTCCCAGCAAGTGCTGAGCTGGGTACTAGGGTGGGGTCAGTCCCTGCCCTCCTGGAGCTCCTGGGGCAGAGAAGGGGGCTAGACATAGGAGGCTGGGCACGTCTAGCCCATGTGACCAGAGTTCTTATTAGGAACACTGCAGGTATGGAGCCCCAAGGAAGGAAGCCCAGACAAAGCCTGGATGGGATGGAGATGGGAAGGGTTTCCCAGCAGGAGTGACATCTTGGGGCTCCATCTTATGAGGACTGAAAATGAGCCAAACTATACCCCAGGCAGAACAAGGTGGGAACTGGTAAGGGGAGCAATTTGAGCCAAGAGCCTGGAAGGGAAAGAAGAGAACATTCTGGAAATCATTGTTTGCTAAGCACCTACTGTATACCAAGTGACCATTGTCCTAAAACCCCTGGGGAGGACCCCTAAAAGATGGTCATGGAGGTCAGGGCCAGGATCTACCCAGGCCTGTGGGTCCAGAACCCACTCCTGTACCTGCTGCCCTCAGAGGTCACCCTGGACCTTCCTGCCCTGTGTACCCATCATCCCCCTGGTTCTGTTGCAGGTCCACAAGGCCCCCCAGGAAGCCCTGGCCAGGCTGGAGCTATGGGCACCCCTGGAGAGAGGGGGCCTCCAGGCCCACCAGGGCCTCCTGGTCCCCCAGGTCCCCCTGCCCCTGTTGGACCACCCCACACCCAGATCGCCCAGCATGGTGAGTTCCTTGGGGTCCCAGCAGATGAATGTGGGAGTGGGATGAGGCTGGCGTAACTATCATGACAATGCCACCACTGTCTATCAGGCCCCTTCTGTGAACCAGACTTGCTACATGCCACCCAACCCTCCAGTGGGCACTGTTCTCTTCCTCTGTTCACAGATGAGGAATACTAAGGGCCAGAGGCTGTGGTGGGATATAAGGGGTCAACTTTTTTTTTTTAAGATTTATTTTATTTTATTTTATTTATTTATTCATATAAGAACTGGGGTGTAAGCCAGAGGTGCGGGGGTGAGGGGGTGAGAGGATTCACCAGAGACAGAGTAGGGAACGGAACAGGCAGATCTACTGAAATACACTGCTGAAGGGAGCAGCGGGCAAGACAGGAGAGGTCTGCCGCACCATGTGGGTAGCTCCCTGGCTGGGGATCAAACTCATGCCTAACCCCTGAACCACCAGGGAGGATAAGGGGCCAACCTCTAACCCAGGTGGCCTCCAGATCCTCTTCTCTGAATCACTGGCATTGGGCCCTCCTGCCAAACCTCGGAGCTGGCCAGGATCCAGCCCCCAGAGTGCCAGGAAGCTCAAGACCTGGCAGCAGGAAACCAGCCCTTAGCTCCCAAGGCCATGACCCCACCCTGGGCTCAAAGAAGCCCCAAGTTCCCCCTGCACAAAGAAGCCCCAAGTTCCCCCCCTAATACCTCCTTCACCTCTACCCAGCCTGACCTATACATGTGAACCAGGGGTCAGAGCTTGGAGTGCCAGGTTCAACCCCACCTGCCTCGGTCTCCTCCTCTGTACAGCAGGGATGGTGACGGCTCCCAGAACTCCATAACACCCACCCATAGAAGCCTGGTACAAAGTAGAGAGTTAATAAAGTAGTAGCTTTCGTTATTATTCCCATTTATTATTCCCTACTGTGACAGTAGGCTCAGCCCGGTGGACAGCCTTGCTGGATGTCACCAGGTAGACTGTTACAGGGTTAGAATCCAGGTCTCCCTGCTTCCTGGTCCTGAGTAGCCAAAACTCTCTCCCCAGCACTCCCCCACAGAGCTGGTGCTTAGTGGCCCCAGCCACAGGACAGTCAGAGCTTTCTTGGCAGAGGCAACAAGTGAAGATTGATCATCCGATGCCACCCAACCCTGTACTCACCATCTTTCCTTTTTTTTTTTTAATTTTTTTTAATAGAGGCATGTTTTATTTATTTGTTTGTTTGTTTGTTTTGTTTATACATGCACTGGGTACAGTCAGAAGCGCGGGAGGGTGAGAGAATTCACCAGAGCCAGAGCGGGGAGCAGAGCAGGCAGAAGGACCGAAGTACACTGCTGAGAGGAGCAGCAGGAGGCAGGAGAGGTCTGCGCGCCATGTGGGACCCTCCTCCAGTGGCCAGGGAGCAGCCGGGGATCGAACCGGCGTCTCAGAGGCTGCGCACAGCTTCGCACCCCAGCGCTCAACCGCTGCGCCAGCCACCAGGGAGGCCCATGTACTCACCATCTTTCTCCCCCTACAGGTGACCCATTGCTGTCTAATACCTTTACTGAGACCAGCAGCCACTGGCCCCAGGGACCTGCTGGGCCCTCAGGCCCCCCAGGGCCCATAGGCAAGTTGAATACAGGTCTGGGGTAAGGGTGGGTTACTAGGACAGTGACTGAAAAGTGCCAAGAGAAGTGTGGATTCTTGCCCTGGGGAGTGATGGTAGGCTTCTTGGTGTTGTATTCTGTTTCAACCCTGAGAACATCCTGTCTTATTTCAGGTCCCCCTGGACCTCCTGGCCCTATGGGCATCCCTGGGAGTCCTGGACTTATTGTGAGTAGTTCTCCAAGTGCTCCCATTCACCTGTCCAATTCCCTCCCCACCTACTATCCTCATCCATCCATCCATCCATCCATCCATCCATCCATCCATCCATCCATTCATCCATCTATCCATCTTTTCATTCATTCACTCAAACATTTATGGAGCATTTAATGTGCAAACTACTTTCCATAAATCTTCTCATTCAGTGCATATAACTAGAAGCAGTATTGTTATCAAGTAAGGGCAAGAAAAGTGGAGATTCTTGCCCTAGGGCTATGGATCACATGTAACAGCTTCCAGATGTGGTGGGACTGACTCCAGGGCCCCGGTTCTGAACACTGAGCTGTATGAGATGACTCCTGTGTGCAGGCATTGGGTGAATGGGAAAGATCCCAAAGGTCCAGGCCAAGCTGCCCCTCCAAGTCCTGCCCACTCTGTCCTACCATAGCAGAAGGCTGAGGCCCTCTCTTGTTGCTTAGGGACCCCCAGGCCCCAGTGGACCCAAAGGAATCTCTGGCCACCCAGGACAGAAGGGTGAGAAAGTGAGTACCAAGGCACCTGCCTCCATGGGGATTCCGGGAAGTCCTAGAAATCCTGGGTCAGAGCCCCTATAGCTGATTCCATTATTTTCCTCCCTCCTCCTCAGGGACTGCATGGGGAACCTGGCCCCCAAGGATCCCCAGGACAGCGGGTGAGTGATGCCACCCACCCTGCAACCCCCCTCCGGGATCCCAGAGGCCCAAACCCCTGCTCTAGCTCCATTTCCCATGTCCAGAGCCCCCACGCCTTGCTCTGGCTCTGTCCCTGTGTCTTTTTTTCACTCTTTCCTTCTGTATCTGTCTCTTTGACTCTGTATTTCTCTTCCACTCTCCCCAACTCTTTAGATTTATCTATTTCTCACTTCAGTTGGACCAATTTTTGCTTCATGTGTTTCAAAACTTTATTATTAGGTACATATACATTCAGGATCTTACTGTCTTCTTGGTCCTTTTATCTTTATAACATAAATATCTTTCTCTTTGGTAATACTCCTTACTTTGACATTAAAATAGCTCCTTTAGCTAATGTTTGCATGATATATCTTTCTAACCCTTGTACTTTCAATTGTGTCTTTTTATTTAAAGTGCATCTTTTTTTTTTTAAAGATTTATTTATTTATTTATTTATTTATTTATTTATTTATTTATTTATTTATACAAGCACTGGGTACAGTCAGAAGGGCAGGAGGGTGAGAGAATCCACCAGAGCCAGAGTGGGGAACAGAACAGGCAGACTGATGAAGTACACTGCTGAGGGGAGCAGCGAGCAGCAGGAGAGGTCTGCGCACCATGTGGGACCCTCCCCTGGCAGCTGGGGATCGAACCAGCGCTGCAGAGGCTGTGGGCAGCTTCACAGCTCAGCGCTCAACCGCTGCGCCACCAGGGGAGGCCCTAAAGTGCATTTTTTGTAGACAACATATACTTGGGTCTTGCTCTTTTTTTTTTTTTTTTGTCAAACAGTCTGACTTGATTTCATTTACATGTAATGATATTGTATTGTATGTAAATGATATGTATAATTATCGACATGGCTCAGTTTACTTCTGAGTCTGCCGTCTTGCTATTGGTGTTCTGTTGGCCTCATCTCTTCTACCCCCCTTCTTCTCCTGCCTTCTTTGGATTGAGTCGTTTACAGTTCCATTTTAAAGATTTATTTAATTTATTTATGCATACAAGATCTGGGGTGTAGGCCAGAGGTGCAGGGAGTGAGAGGATTCACCAGAGACAGAGTGGAGAGAACAGGCAGATCTACTGAAATACACTGCTGTGGGGAGTAATGGGTAAGACAGGAGAGGTCTGCTTTGCCATAAGTGTTAGCTTCCTGCCTGGGCTCGAACTTGTGCAGCAGTGGCTGGTGATAGCTTGTTAGCACTGAAACTTAACCCCTGTGCCACCAAGGAGGCCCCTGCTAATGACTTTTTAGCTATATCTTCTTGTGCTGTATTTTCATGGTTATTTCATGCATAATAATATCTTTGGCTTCTCACAATTTACTTGAATTAATATTATACCACTTCATGTAATAGCAGGACCATTACAAGTGTATAATTCACTTCTTCTGTCCTTGTGCTATTGTCGTCAATGTATTTTACTTCTGTATTTCTTATAATAACTGCATAATACATTATTGTTATTACTGCTTTCGATAGCCAGTTGATGTTTAAAGTTAAGAAAACAGTCTCCCCGGTGGCTCATAGAATTGAGCGCAGTGCTGTGAAGCTGTCCGCAGCCTCTGCAGCGCGGGCTTGATTCCCAGCCAGCCAGGAGACACCCAAATGGTGCGGCAGACCTCTCTGTTCCCCTCAGCAGTGCTTTCGATCAGTCTGCCTGTTCTGCTCCCTGCGCTGTCTCTGGTGAATCCTCTCACCCTCCCGCGCCTCTGGCCTGTACCCCAGGTCTTATATAAATAAATAAATCTTTAAAAAGAAAACAGAAAAAAATAGTCTTTTGTATATATTGAAGTATCTAGCATTTCTAGTACTTGTCAGCCTTCCTGTTGCTCCAGATTCCTATCAGGTATCATTTTCTTTCCACTTAAAGAACATCTCAGCCTTTCTTGTCATGTGAGTCTTTTGGCAACAAATCCTTGCTGCTTTTGTTGATCTGAAACTGTCTTTACTTGACCTTAATTTCTAAAAGATATTTGCACTGGATATACATTAATAGGTTGGCAGTTTTCTCTTCTTCTAGAACTTTAAAGATGTTGTTTTGTGGTCTTCTGGCTTACATTGACAATTAAAATTTCTCATGAGAAAATGACCATCATACATATATCTATGTGTGTATATATGTTTCTTTGGCTCTTAAGACTTTCTTTTTACCTTTGGTTTTCAACAGATGATAATGTGGTAGGATATGATTTTCTTTCTGTTTCTCCTGCTTTCAGTTCGCTGACATTCCTGGATTTATAAGATTGCTGGACTTGTTTTTGTCAATCATTTTGTTTTGTTTAATTAATAAAATTCACTTTTTAAAAGTTTTAGGTTCACAGCAAAATTGAGCAAAAAATACACAGAATTCCCATAGATTCCCTGTCCCCACACATGCACAGCCTCCCCCACTACTGACATCTGTACCACAGCGGCACATTTGGTACAACAAATGGACCCACATTGACATGTCATTATCACCCCAATTCCATAATATATATATAGGGTTCACTTGTGATGTTACACATTCTAGGGCGGTTGACAAATGTGTACACCATTGTAGTATCATACACAATAATTTCACTGCCCTAAAAATCCTCTGTGCACTGCTTGTAGATCCATCCCTCTTCTCTAACTCTTGGCAACCATTAATCTTTTTACTGTCTGTATAATTTTGCCTTTTGCAGAATGTCACATAGTTGGAGCCATATGTTTGCAGCCTTTTCAGATTGGCTTCTTTCACTTAGTAATGTGCATTTACGTTTCCTGCATCTTTTCATGGCTTGACAGCTTATTTCTTTTCGGTGCTGAATAATTTGCCATTGTCTGCATATGCCACAGAATATTTATACACTCACCTACTGAAAAACATCCCAGTTTTGTTTTGTTTTTAAAGATTTTATTTTTATTTATTTTTGCATACATGAACTGGGGTGTAAGCCAGAGGTGCAGGGGGTGAGAGGATTCACCAGAGACAGAGTAGGGAGGAGAACAGGTGGATCTACTGAAACACACTGCTGAGGGGAGCAGCAGGTGAGACAGGAGACTTTTGCTGTGTCATGTGGGTCAGCTCCCTGGCTAGGGGTCAATTCAGGCCACTAGAGTGATAGCACTGAGACTTAACCCCTACTCCACCAGGGAGGCCCACTTCCTAGTTTAGGAGTTATGAATTAAACTTCTGTAAATACCATATTTAGGGGTTTGTATGGCTATTAGCTTTCAGTTAATTTGGTAAGTACCAATGAGTGTGATTGCTGGATCATATGGTAAACCTACGTTTGGTTTTTTAATATGTTAACACACCTTGGTAAAGTGTAAAATGCACGCTCTGTCTCCCATTTGGTGAGCAGTTTCTAAAATCCATGCCCAGTTCTACCTTTCCTGCAGACAGGCAGTTCAAGGAACATCCAAGGATTAGAGGGGAATGTTTGTGCAGGTTTCACTCCCCACTGTGGCTCCTTGCTTTCTACTGTTTTCCCTCAATTTCCTACATGTCAGTCTTAACTCCAACCTCTGACTTCTCAGGAAAATTTGACCAAAGCTTTCTGTGTAAGGTGTTTTCGAGCCTGAGAGGACTGGGGTGTGCTCTCAAAGGAAAATCCGTAAATTTATTATTTTACTCAGTTCATTTCCTGCGTCTGATTGCACTTTATCACGCTCCGTTCCCTCCAGCTTTTGTTTTGTTTTGGTATTCTGTCCAATGTTAGTCCAATGCAAGCTACTTCTTTGTTTCTGCCAGTCTCCCAACCTCTCAATCTCTCTCCCTTCTCTCTCATTCCCTCCATCCCTCCCTTTTTCCCTTCCTCACTGCTTTTACCCCATCTGTCCTTGCAGGGAGAACCTGGTCCCAAAGGAGACCCTGGTGAGAGGGGCCATTGGGTAAGTTACAACCTGCCACTGACCTCCTACTGCCCCCTCCTGCCCTGGGCACTCAAAGATTATTTTCTCACCAATAGGCCCTGGGAGTGGGGACACCCCGTCCAGATCCCCCTTGCAACCTGGTGTCCCCGGGAGGAGCCTTGACAGATCTCAGCCCTGGCCCCATTCCCAGTCCTGTCCTTCCCAACCAGGCAGGGCCAGCCTTATCAGCAGGCCCCAGATGTGCTCTCTCTGTCTTCATCCCTGTCTCAGCCTTTTTCCCTCTGTGCCTTCCTAGGTCAGGGTAACTGCCTGTTCCTCCTGGGCGGTTTGGGCTGCCCTGCATCCATTGCCCCCTCCCAGCAAAGGTTCTGGCTTCTTCTCCCCTATCTAAAGAAGAAAGGGAAGCATGAAAACAATACCCAATGATGTGTGGAGATGTGTCACCTGAGTGGGGCTGGGAAACACATGCTGTGTAGGAAGGGAGGCACAAAGACAGCAAAGTACACAGGAATCCCCTGGTAAAAGTGTCAGGGAAGTAAGACACCACCATCCACAAAGGAAATCCAGGAAGCCTAGAAACTGTTGTTTACATGTTGTACACAGCATGTAAAGGAGGGCAGGGGACCTAGATTCCTTTATACCCAAAAACTTACAATTAGCATGCATTCCTGGACGCCGTCACATACATAGGAGACCCACAAGGAGTAGGAGAAGAGAAACTGTTATGTACATGAGAGAACCATGGAAAATGAGGTAAGGGGATCAAGATACCACTATACACAGAGGGAGCTCCTGAAGAAGGGAAGGGAGGCCTAGAAACTCACATGCACGGGAGACATAGTCAATGGGAAAGGGGACCTCGAAGCCACACAACCCAAAGTCCTATGATTGATGTGGTGTCCCATAAGCCTACACAATCATTAGCGATAGTTACAGTGAATGAATTTTGGGGTCTAGAAATCTGTCCACCCAAGACTCACATGGCTGGAGGACCAAAAGCCTCACAGTGCAGGCAACCGGAAGCCATCGCTGAAATAGGAGACATTTGGAAAATGGACAGGATTGGGGTGGGCGCCCCTACAGGAGAGACACCTGGGAAGGTCTTTTGGAGGCTGGTATCATGTCTCCCTCTCTCTGCCCTGCCCTCCTTCCTGTTGTAGTCTTGCTGGGATGCCCTGCTTCCTGGAAGACACTAGTTAGTGAGGACATGGAAAGCACCCACCATATCCCCTGCCCTTTCTGCTCCTGATTGTGGGGTCAGTGATGGATACAGCCGTGGGAGCCCCCCCACCCTGCATGACTTCTGGGGCCCTGCTACCTCTCCAACAAGCCTCTCCTAGCCCCATGCTGCCACCCACCCCCCTACCAACTCTCCTCCACCTCCCGTGGCTCCAGAGCAAGCATACTGCCAGCTTGGGCATGAAATGGGGGTCCTGTAAACCTGAGGGGGCCCTCTGCCTCCCCTAGTCCCCTTCACTGGCCTCTCCCAGAGATCCTTGTTCTGGGATCACATTTCCACACAGCTCAGGAGAGCTGGGAGAACAAGGTGAAGGCTGGATCAGGCTGAGCAATCCGTCCCTGCTTGGGGATCCTGGCAGGGTAACAGATACCTGAGCTATCCCAGATCAGGTCTCGAACTCAGGACCACCTGTGGAAGGGACCCCCAGGAGGTAGCAGTGCCCCTACCCATCTACTGCCTCCCCCGCACCCACCTGCACTTCTGTCCCTGCTTGCTGCCTGCCTCGGAGGGGGCCCGCTGGGCTGGGAACTGCATGAGACTTTGGGGGCTAAAAGATCAGCTCTGTCACTGGCAGGTAGGTGGGGATGAGATCTGTGTGCGGAAGGGCCCTGAGCATTCCTAATACACACTTCATCAACCAACCTCAACTTCAGTGACTTTCATAGCCAGTGACCCAACTGTGGCTCATCACTGACTCTCAGTGGTTATGGAGGTGCACTGCAGGCACTGCCTGGGAGTGACTGGACTGAGCCAGCCCCTTTCCAACTAGATAGACTGAAGCTCCAACTCTTTATTCAAACAGGAAGAACTAAGACCCAACTCCACAGAGAAAATTGTTGGGAGAGCAGGAACTAAACCTAAGCTTTTTGGGTCTCTGGATCAAAGGGTCCAGCTAACATTTTCCCCAAGTACCTCCTTGGTCCATGCCAGGCTTCAGACTGGGCACTGTGCAGTTAAAACACAGTCTTCTCCCTCAGGGTCATCACTTTGGGGTTGAGGGGAGGGGGTGGGACAGGTAATCAGTAGTGACAGGACAAAGGGAGCTCAGCTATGATGGGGAAGGTTTAGTTTTCTGGAGGAGGAAACCCAGGCTAAGGCCTGAAGGGTGCATGGACCAGGCAAAGGAAATTCAGGCAGAGAGGAACATCACTTACAAAGCTGAGACATGAGTGAGCCTGGAGTGATAGAACTGCAGATATTTCAAGTGGCAGAATGTGACAGGCAAGGGGTAAAGAGGAGGCTTTCAGGACCTTATTAAGGAATTTGAACTTTTTTTTTTTTTAAAGATTTATTTTTTATTTATACAAGAGCTAGGGTACAGGCCAGAGGCGCGGGGGGGTGAGAGGATTCACCAGAGACAGAGCGGGGAACAAACAGGCAGACTGACTGAAATACACTGCTGAGGGGAGCAGCGGGAGTGACAGGAAAGGTCTGCTGTGCCATGTGGAATCTCCCTGGCTGGCTGGGAATCGAACTGGCACTGCAGAGGCTTTGGACAGCTTCACAGCGCGGCGCTCAACCCGCTGCGCCACTGGGGAGGCCCAAGGAATTTGAACTTTATTCTATGGGCAGTGGGGAGTCACTGAAATATTTATAAGTAGGGGAGTGTTCTGGTGAGATTTTTATTTATGAAAGGTTCCTCTGATTGCCCTGTGAAAAAGGAATTTGCAAAGGGGGCAATAAGGATGAAGCAAAAAGACAGAGAGTAGGCAAGAGGCTTGTGGTCTTCCTAGCAAGAGACTGCAAGGGCTGTTACTGAAGAGGGACAGAGAGGACAGACAGAGGTCAGTGCAACTAAGAGACACTCTGGTGCTTGTTTAGCTGCAGGAAGGGGTGAGTATAAGAAATAAACATTTACGGAAGCAAAACTGAGCGGGAGAAGCAAGCAGGCTGAGTTTCTGTGAGTGTTGCCCATGGAATGGGGATATCCAGTAGGCCCTGGACTCTCAGATCTCAGGTGCAGAGTGCATGCCAGGCTGGGGCATCATGGGTGCAAACAGCAGGCCACCCATCTGGGAAGAGGGCCAAATAACAGATTTTTTTTTTTTTGCAGTTTTTCCTCCAAATTTTTATTTTGAAATTTTTCAAATATGCAGAAAAGCTAGTACAATGAGTATCTTCCTACCCTTCCTCTAGATTGACCAGTTCTTAACTGTTTTGTCTCATTTGCTCTTTATCTCTTCATGTATTTACAGCCTTTTTCTTTTCTGTTTAATCAAGGTATTTTTTAATCAAAGAGGAAAATTCTGCTTTATTTAATCTTTACTTTAAAAACAATAATAAATTGCTACCCATTCTGTGAAATCCCAGTAGCAAGGGCTGCGTTATTTAGCTGGCCTGCCAGTGGTTTTTTCCTCATTTCCTATTTTTTAAAGTCCTTTTTTAAATTATTTTTTTAACTAAGGTAACAGTGGTTTACACCACTATTTATAACTGAGAGGTATAGAATCACTCCTTTTCATTATATCAGGGTTTTATTAAGAAAATCATCTCTTTTTTTAAAACTGGCAATTTCTTTCTCAGGCAATTTGTTTTGTTTTGTTTTGTTTTTTTAAAGATTTGTTTATTTATGCACACAAGAGCTGGGGTACAGGTCAAAGGTGTGGGGGGTGAGGGGATTCACCAGAGACAGAGTGGGCAAAAGAACAGGCAGATTGACCAAAGTACACTGCTGAGGGGAGCAGCAGGCGAGTCAGTGGGAGAGGTCTGCTGCACCATGTGGGTTGCTCCCTGGCCGGCCAGGGGATCAAACTCGTGCTGCAGTGGCTCTGGACAGCTTCATAGGTTGTGTCTTAACCCCTTGCGCCACCAGGGAGGCCCCTTTTTCAGAATATTGTACAGTTGTATTTCTCTTTGATCTATAACCATGGCGAGAGACATGTATTTATTTTCATTTACTTCTTTTAAAAGAAGTGTTATGAAGCAACTTTGGCTTAAAACATCATGTAGGTTTCAGGTGTATAGACCTTTTTCTAGTTCATTTGAAAGTAACTTACAAAGCTCATCCAGATCCCCCTTCATACTTCAGTGTGCATCTAGAAAGAAATGGGCATTCTCCCAGGGCCACTATAACAGCATCACACCTAAGAAACTAACAATAATTTACCAGTTGTTCCTAAAATGCCTTTTATAGCTGTTTTTTCAATCCAAGATCTATTCAAGATTTACATGTTGCTTGTCATGTATCTAGCCTCTTTTAATTTAGAACAAGTCTCCTGCCCTTTTCCCTTTTCTCTTGACTGTCTTTTTATAAATGTCCCACCATAAAGATATGTCTGATTGTTTCCTTGTGATGAGATGAGGGGGAATACTCTTGGCCACATGGGTGGGGATGTGGGACCCTCCTCCATCTAATCAGAAGGCTTGTGATATCAGCTAGGCCTGCTGTCCATGCCCAAGGGGCTTAACATCCTTTGTGGAGGCCATCCATTTTTAGATCCCGCTCCTACAATACTTGAAGAAGGATTAATTTGGCTGCAGCCAGAGGTGACTCTGTGGCCCCTAGGCTACAATGGCCAGTTGGTGACATGAGGGTATTTCAGTCCATGAGACGTGGACAGGACAGCTTGGTGATAACACAGTCCCAGCAAGGCCTCACAGGCTCATGTCCAATGGGCATGTTGGGAGACCTCTCGGTTGGTTTACAGATGTTTCTGTGGGAATAACTCGCTACCTTCAAGGGTTGAATTAAAATTGTACCAATAAGCATCATCCCTCCACTTAATCTGCACTAAGGAAAGGGTGCCAAGAGAGACTCTGAGATGTGTCAGGACTGAAATAGTTCTATTTGCCATCCTCGTGCTCTGGTGGAATTAAGATATCTACATTCCAGAAATAACTTTAGTCTGGTCTAGGAAAGAGGAAGGAGCGAGGGAGTGTGGAATTTCGGCAAGACTGTGGAACCTGTGCTGGGGAAGGAAAGGACAGTCAGCGATGGGTGGGCCAGTCCTGGTCTCTGGCCTGAGCCCTGGGCAGCAGCTGGCACCACTTAGGGAGTGAGGAGCCATGGAGCAGGGAGGCCTGGGGGATGGGTTTGCGGGCCCTCTGCCACATCCCTGAGGCTGGGTGCAGCTTAGAAGAGAGGGCGGGGTTCAGGGCCTGGCTTTAGGACATGTAAAATATGGACCTGGAGTAGTCAGAGCTGGGGAGAAATGAGCCAAAAGTGAGAAAGACTGGGGAGGGGGCAACCAGGCCTAAGCCTCAGCTTCCCAGGAGTGATACATTTAAACATTTCCTAATTTTACTTGTATGTTCCTTTTTTTTTTTTTTAATTTATTTGTTTATTTATTTATACAAGCACTGGGTACAGTCAGAAGCGCGGGAGGGTGAGAGAATTCACCAGCGCCAGAGCAGGGAGCAGAGCAGGCAGACTGACAAAATACACTGCTGAGGGGAGCAGCGGGCGGCAGGAGAGGTCTGCGCACCATGTGGGACCCTCCTCTGGTGGCCGGGGAGCAGCCGGGATCGAACCGGCGCTGCAGAGGCTACGGGCAGCTTCGCAACCCAGCGCTCAACCGCTGCGCCACCAGGGAGGCCCACTTGTATGTTCATTTTGATGTGAATGGAAATATCAGAAAGTAGCCTGACCCCACTAATAGAGTTAACTAGGGTGAGACTAATGTAGTATTTAAACAATGTTAAATAAACAAGAGTACAGCTGGTCCAGGGATGTGGCAGGAATCACAAAGGTGGTATATGAGAACAGCTGGTGTCAGGCCACAGGCTCTGTGGCAGGCTCCACAGCAGCACTGCCCCAGTGGGTTGCCATCTTCCCTGCCCGCAGTGCAACAAGAATTGCAGGGATGTGGAGAGAAAGCAGTCAGAGGAATTCAAAGGAACTGGTTGAGGGCTGCTTCCATCTGCCTTGACCCCTCCTGCCCTCTCCTGGTCTTGTCCCGGCTGTCCTTGGGCCCTGGGCTGTGGCAGGTGGTGTGGGGCTGCAGGTGCATGTCTAGGGCGGGGCATGGGCTACCAACAGGCTTTGCAGGGCCCCTCCCCTAGCCCCTTCACGGCTGCATCTGTCTCTTTCCTCCGCAGGGGGAGGGGTTGCACCAACTACGCGAGGCTTTGAAGATTTTAGCTGAGAGGGTTTTAATCTTGGAAACAATGATTGGGCTCTATGGTGAGTAGAGACAGACGGACAGACAGCCCAGTCCCCATCCACCGGCTTTCCCCCGACCCTCTGGGGTGGAGCTGCCTGATTCCAGCCATGAGGTTGGAGAAAGTCCCTGCCCCAAGCAGGTGAGGACCTGAGAAGTCAAGACCTCCCATCCCTCAATGACTGGTCCCTCTACCACAGGTGACGGGGGCCCTAGAAACCGGAACCCCTACTTCTGTGGTCACACCCAGGCCTCCGGGTTTCGTGGGTAATGTGGTTTCCAGGCCTGCTGGGGAATTAGAAGTGACAGATTTCAAGTTTGGAAGAAATTATGGACAATGGTACCAAACTCCAGACCAGCATGGGATTGTGGGTAATGCAGCCAGTGCAGGGGATCATGGGTAAGAAAGTCAGAGCCCATGCCCACAGGAGGATTGTGGGTAATGGATCCAGATCCAGTGAGACTTCAACTCTAGAGAAATCATGAGTAACAGATCTAGTTTTCAGACCCACAAAACATGGAGCTAGACTCCTGAAGTGCAAGGTATTATGGGTGATAGAGCCAGGCTCAGGCCCCAAGGGACTCTGGGTAATATGCCACCCACCAGTTCTGACCTTCCCTGCCCTATGAGCCCCAAGAGGCTCATAGGGCAAGTCCTCCTAGCCCTTGAATGTATCCCTTACAGTTGCAGTTCCCTCTCTGGTCCTCCTAACCTGCCCTGCAAGTCCCTTTAGGGACCTAAGTGAGACCCTCAGCCTAGGCATTTGCTCAGCAATTCTTCACCCATCTGGTCACTGAGGGGCCAAGGAAGCTGTGTCCCCACTTAAGAGTCTGAGGTCTTGATAGAGACTCACTTCCAGGTACCTGCCCTGAAGCTGGCTGGTGCCTGGCCCCTATACCCTACCCTTGGCTCCCCGGCCCAGCCCTTGGAGGCCGGACTCGCACCGTCTGCTCTTCTCAATCTCCCATCAGGCTCCTAGCTTACAGAGCTTTCTGCAGCAGCAGGCTCAGCTGGAGCTCCTGGCCAGACGGGTCACCCTGCTGGAAGCCATCATCTGGCCAGGTAATGGCAGGGTGGGCAGGCAGGGGCAGCCCCTTTCAGAAAGGGCCTGGGAAGGGCCTGGGGATACAGACAGTGCCTCCCAATGCTGGCCCCAGGCCAGGGACTCCTCCTTCTCTGTCTTTCCATTTGCCAGTAGACAGTGCCTGGCACAGAGAAGGCTCTGATAACTAGTTCTTGAATGAATGTGCTCCTTTCCGTGCCAGGCCCCTTGCTGGCTATATAACCTCCAATAGATAAAACAGACATAGTCCTACTCTCATGGAGTTGAGAATATGGGGGTACTAGGGGAACCACTGGCTTTTAAATCCTAGGTGAGATAGGCAACCATGAGAGCATAGAAGTGCACCTGACCCAGGCAGGAAGATGAAGGAGGACGTCTCAGGGAAAGCTTCCTGGAAGTGGTGTTCCCTAAGTAGAGACCTGAAGAGCAAGGACTAGGGGTGAGAGAAGAGGCAGATGAACATCCTGAGCAAAAGCCAAGAGGTCAAAAAGAACCTAAGGGACTGTCTATGAGGTTGCTGTGGAGTAAGATCTAAGACTAGTGGATCTAGGCCCAGTGTGAGAATGTCCTCAAAGGCAGGTTGCGGTGGTTGGGGGCGGGGGGCCTTAGGAAGATTAACACCAAGTGGGAAGTACTGTCTCTGTGCCTGCATCATCATGGTGAGACTAAGGAGGTCTCCCCCCCATTCAACTGGAGCCTGTGACTGGCCCTGGGGAAAGGAAGGGATTGGCTGCCCTTAGGGCTGAGCCCTTTTTCTCACCTACCCAATAAGAGGCTGCAACAGCCACACTTTTCCCACCTACAGCTGCTCCATCCCACAGCCCAGTCCTAGTGCATCAGTATACACAGGCCGTGGACATCATGTCCAACTTCCTGTCTATTTTACATCTGGGGAGACCGAGGCCCCACACTGGAAGGCGGGCCCCGTTGAGAGGCAGGCCTCCTTCATTCAGCAAAGCTGCAATATAGACCGAGTGCCAGGTCTGGGCAGGTACTGGGGCAGATCCCAAGAGAACCTAGTTTGGGGAGCTGCCCGATGAGTGGCATATTCAATACTCATAGAGATGAAGGCCTTGGGGTACAGGAGCACCAAAGAGTGTAGGTGAGGAGCAGTCACTTCTCACTGTGGGGTAAAGAAGACTTCCCAAAAGACGGGACACTGCATGGGTCATGGAAGATACTTGAGTGTGTCAGGAAGGGCGGGTGGGAAGGGCAACCCTGATGAACAGAACTGCAGGGGTAAAGGCCTGGAGGGTGGAAGGCATGTGTGTGGTTCGCTTCCAAAATTCCTCCCACCATGCCACCTGGCTTCTCTAATGTACAGTAACACCAGTGACCATCAACCAGACCACCTCCCCACTCACAAGGGTGGACCACGGACCAAATCCCAGGCTCTCGGCATACCTTTTCAGTCATGCCCCACCTCTCTCAAGAGGATTTGGGCAGAAGCCAGAAGAGACACATGCCTGGCCTTGGATCTCTGCCCCACCAGCTGGCTCTGTCTCTGGCACCCCAAGGAGGAAGAGCCAGTCACCTGGGAAGGCCCCGCAAGCCTGCTGGGATTATGGGTCCTTGGGGGGTAAAGAGGATAGCAAAAAAGGAAATAGAACTTTCTTCACTGGCCCATCATACACAGCAAGTACAAACTAAAGACCCAGCAGGGGCTCATATTTGGTCATAGTCAATAATGATGATAACAGTAACAGCTGCCAAACTGCCACACATCTGGCCCATCTGGGCTGGGGGATTTACATTGATCATCCCCAGTCCTTACAACAAGCTTGCTAGGTGGGCAATACCATGCCCATTTTACTGAGGAAGATAGAGAGGTTCAGAGGGCTCACATGTTTCCCTCAGGGCCAGAGGCATAGTAGCAGTCAGGCCGGGAATCTACCCTAAATTTAGATCTGCCCTCTATAAAGTGATAGTGCTTTTGGCTCCATAAACAAAGGTTCACTGACATACCCACTCAGCCAGGCACTCAGGGTACCCAGAGAAACCCAGGCCCCAAATCTGATCATGTCAGAACAGCACCTCATGACTGACTTATGATGGACAGACCTACAAGCCTGGGTTGAAAGCACACCAATTCAGTGACCGTAATAATCATCTAGTAGTAGTTTCTACGAAAACCACTTTCTACTGCTGGTCATCTTAAAAACTTACTGCAAGTGTGTGACATAGTATTATCTTCATGTTCCAGATGAGGCTCAGAGGTTCTGTGACTTGCCTGAGGCCTTATAACCGGGACATGGTGGGCCCAGCATCTGGCCCTCAGTGATGCTGGAGCTCCTGCTCTATGCCACCCTCCTCTTCCACTCCCCTACTTCCTGATTTAGGGCAAAGAAATATCCCTTGACTGACCACACATGTCTGGGCTGTCCTAGAATCACAGCCCGGAGGTGCCCAGGGGGCTATGGCACACGGGGTCAGGACACTGGACAATTATGAAAATGAAGTATAGCCTATTCCCCTGGCTGTGCCCGCAGGGGAAGATGGCACTTTACTAGAATCTGTGCATCTATCCTGTGAATATGGTTTTGGAGGCTCAGCTAAGATATCCATCCTGTGAAACAACCCATCTTCTTCCTCTAGAAAACAACCCATCCTTCTGACCTGCCTGACCTGCTCATTTTAACTTTGAGAAGGATTGGGGGGATAGTCATAGACAGATTCTTAGAAGTTCTAATTGGGTTTTGAAGGATGCATAGGAGTTTTCCAGATGTAAGAATGCCATTTATTCAGTTTCACCATTGTGGGTCAACTTATTTTCAGGGGCTTATCTCACCACAGCCAAATTGGAACTGACTTCAATAAGTATTGGATTTGGCCAGGACCTTAGAGTGTGTCTAGAACTGTGCCTCTGGTTTTAGAGATGAGACAACTGAGGTCCTCACAGAATGTTAACTTGCCCAAAGCCACACAGGTCAGTGGCAGAGCCAGACTAAACCCTTCCCCACTATATAGATGGCCTAACCCAAGGCAGGAGGAAGAAAAATTCCTCTCTCCCTCATCTTAGTTTTCCTGACTATGAAATGGGAATGGTTCAGGACACACCTCCATCCCAAAATGTGGAAAAGAAAAAAAGAACGGTACTTTTATGGGACATTCACTACATTCTAAGAACTTCAGAAACATGATGGGTTTATTTATCCTCACTTGGCAGAAAATCAAATAGAGGCCCTGAGTACTCTCATTGGGTTGGGGGCTGATAACTTGTGGAGGGGTGCACTAACCAGCTTGCAGACAACCCCCTTCTTTCTCACAGCTCTGCCTTCCGGACTCCAGGGCAGACCCCCACTCCCCAAAGGGCCAACGGGAGGTGGCCACCATACATAGACCTCGCTAACCCAGTTTTCTCTCCTTCCTTCCGGCAGAACCAGAAGGGTCGGGGACAGGCCCTGCCAGCACAGACACCCCCAGCCTCCTGCGGGGCAAGAGGGGAAGACACACAGCCAACTACCGGATTGTGGCCCCCAGGAGCCACCACGAGAGAGGCTGAGGGTGGTGGTGGCCCCTCAGGGTGGGCCAGGCCAAGCTTCCATGCCCAGCCTGAACTTGGCCAGCTGCCTCCCAGGACTGCCCATCCCTATTTATTAATCTCCTCAGGGTCCCTTCTGCCATCTAGGCCTGTGGGGTAAACAGATTGGTTCTGGCATCCTGGACGCATCTGCTCCTGCCTCATATGAGGGAGATCATGGACTGACGCCTGAGAGGGAGGGAGAGGCCTAAGGCCTTGCTTACGGCGCTGGGCCTGTTTCCCTCTGTGAAATGCAGTGAGGCAGGCCTGCAGGGAGGGAGTGCAGGTAGGATCCTGGTCCTCAAAGCAGAGGGATTCTGCTCCACCACTTTCAGCATGTGCAGGGATAATGACCTCCCCTTCTCTTCTCATTTTCTGGTGCTGGGTCCCTGACCCTAAAGTCAAGCTGCCTGATCTGACCTGACCTGCAAAGACTCCTTGCCTCAGTTCTATCCCGAGTCCCTTGCCCCTCCCATGTCCTGAGTGGGAGAGGAGCCACCTGTTCCCACAAAAGTGTGTGACACCAGGAGATAAACATGTACCGGCCAATAAAGGCCCCCAGCCTGGTCTCCGTGTATGCTTAAATGGGGACAGCTGGGCAGGGTTAGGAGCTTTTTCCCTTTTAGTGGCCTTCATTGCCCACCTGCAAAGCTGGGCAATAGGCTGGCCTGCACAGGCTGAGGGCGCCAGGAGTCCCCTGAGCAGCTGGGCCATGGGTGAGAACAGAGACTAGACTCCCCCTTGCCAGGTGTCCACCAATGGCTGCAGCTTGAGTCCCTATCCTCAAATAAAGTCAGCCGGGGAGCAAGGAGCTGCCAGAACTTGGGGCAGCTTCCTTCTCACCTATAAAAGGAAACTGATGGCGTGACTCAGATTTTCTAGTGTGTTTCTGGCCCCCAACCAGTGACAACGTAAGTGGCAAGGTGGCTGGCTGTGGCCCCTCCACTGTGGCCCTGGCTGGGATACAGCCCCCACAGAAGCCCAGAGTGCAGACTGCTCCAGGACATGAGGCTCCCTGCTCCACCCTTCAAAGTCCAGCTTCTTCAACCCCCCACCCCCTCTGCCCTCCTGGCTCCAGTCTACCTCCCCTCCCTGGGCAGGGGGCAAGAACAGAGAGGGGGCCAGGAAGGAGGAGCTGCTGCTTCAAAGCTGAGGAAGCTCCCCCACTGCACTCCCGCCCATTGCTTCCTGCCCAGGGGACCCAGCAGTGCTGGGAAACAGCAACGAAGAAGGAGCCTTGGCAAGAGGGTCCAGCCCAGCAAACACTCCGCGGTGGAGGGCTCAGCTTCTTGTAGGAGGTGTGGGGACAGTGACATCATGTCTCTGGATGTCAGGAAGCTGCTCTCCCGCAGTTGGTGAACTGTTCACTGCTCACTCATCCCTCTGATGCCAACACAGAAGAGTCAGAAACAACTGCTGCCCCAAGGAGGTCCAGGTTGAAAAGTGAATTGTTTTTTATTCTTAATAGTACCAGAGTGGGCTGCTGAAGGGTCCTCTCCTGCTCCTCCAGAGGTCCCCCTGCACCCCAGGGGGTCTCTCAGGAGACAGGGCAGGGGCTTGGCTATACACCTGCAGGTCAGGCCTTTTGTCCCTAAGGATCTGCCAGTGCTAGGGGGGTCCAGGACCCTCGGGATGGGCAGATCCACCCTTCCCTTCAGTCACCAAGGTCTCAGCGCCCACCTGCCCCCCAACCAGCAGTGTCACAGCGCCTTCCACACGACCTGTGGCTGCCAGTGCCACCACTGCCTGCTCTGTGGGGAAGCCCATGCGCTCCAGCTGCTGCAGCCTGTGAGATGAGACAGGGAGGAAGTATGAAGGTCATCTCCAGCCCTCACACCAGGGTACCCCACTCCTGCCCACCCCACCTTACCGCAGAGAGGAAACCGAAGACTTAGGCAGCCATAGTGGGCTTTCCAGTCCCTGCGCAGGCCCCTCAAGGAGTGAGGCTTGGATCCCTTCTTGTAGCATCTGGTCATCCAAGGCTGCCCACAGAGGGGTCCCTGGGGGGAAGCTGGGCCCGGCCCAGGCCAGGCCCAGCTCTGATGAGCCCTCCCAGGTGTGCTGCACAGGTTCCAGACCTGGTGGGTATGGGGCTGAACCTCCTCCTTGGGACCAGAGGCTAGAGGAGGCCATGTTAGGAGGTCCAAGGGTAGGCGGCCTAGAGGGGCAGAAGAAGGCATGACTGCCAGCCACTGCCACAGCTTCCACCACCAGGGCCAGTATGCTTGGCACTGCCCTCACCTCACTGCGGCAGGATGGGTGACAGGCAGCTCAGCCAGGCTTCCTGGGGTGGGAAGGAACCTGAGTGGCCACCATCCGGCCAGGGTCCTGCAGAAGATGCCCTCTTGTAGCACCTGCAGCCGCTGCTCCGAGGGCTCCAGCCACCAGAAGGCCCCAGCTGCATCTGTCTGCCCAGGACAGGGCGGCTGGTCAAGGAAAACCAAAACCAGCCAGGGTTAACTCACACTGTATGGCTGGCCCTTTACCAAGCATGAGATGAGCATTCCCTAATGTCTCCTCGCTAAGGCCCTGCAAGGGATGTGTCATCACCCTAATCTGCAGCAGCAGAGGCTCACAGGAAAAGGGACCTGCCTGAAGCTACTCAGACAGTAAAAGCTGGAACTGGATGTGCCTCACCCCAAAACCTGTCTCATCCTGTTGCCACCCTCTGCCCCACTCCTCCCAGAGCCCTGTGAGCTGCTCAGGTTCTGTGGCTTAGGAACTCCTGACAGGGCCCACTGATACCCCTCTCTAGTGCTCTCAGCCAGGGTGATATGCTACCTGGGCAGCTGTGTCCCCAATCCTATGTAAGTCCAGTGAGTCATCTTGTGCCCACTGTTCTCTCCAACTGCATTATTCTCTTCAACAGACATTAAGCATCTTGGAGCAAGAGCCTATGCTTAATACGCCTGTGCCACCAGCCCCAGGTTACCCCTTTTCAGTGCCCAGAGGACCCCAGGTTCACTCTCACCCCTGGCCTTTGCACTTGGTAACCAGTGTGGCCCATTCACCTTTTTTACTTCTCTTTACCTGAACCCCTCATCCTACACATCTCAGCTCAGACACGACCTCCATTGGAGAGGTCCAGGTTAGGTGCCTCCTTGGGCCACCAACCAGGCCTCCTTTAATTTGTATGTGGCACCTCCATCTGCCGAGTCCCCAGTCTCCAGCCCACAGTCTGGTCAGAGAGGACTCCGCGCTGCTCCTGGAAGGTGAGTACACAGCTTTCCAACATTGTTAGCCTGACCCCTTGGTCCACTTCCTTCCTAGGCACCCTACGACCCAGACATATAACCCATCCACGTGGGCCTTGGGCCCAGGCAAAGGATACAGGCCAAGCCAGAAAGGAGGCCACAGAAGAGCTGCAGGAAGGGTGGCTCAGAGCTGAGCAGCGGTGTCAGGGCGAGCAGCAGCCACGGCAGCAGCCATGGTGGCAGTACCCCATGGGGCTGTCTAGGGCAGTTACTTTGCCCCGCCAACATGGCCAGGTGGACAGGCATGTATCCACAGCCACCAGCTGCGCTGGATGCCCCAAGGCCTGCCAACAGCATAGCCATCAGCCCAGTGGCCAAGGCGAGCAGGGCAGAGGCATGCAGGAACCTCAGCGTGCCCAGGTGACACTCCTGCCGCCAGCCCAGTGTAGGCAGGAGCAGCAGACTCAGGAGTAGGCCTGGTAGGGCCGTGTGACCCAGGGCATGGGTCAGTAGCCGGTGCACTGGGAGAAAGAAGGGGTTTATGTGCCAGGTTAGTGGCCCCAACCCCCAAGGCTGACCTATGTGTGCAAGGCTGGGAGCCCCCCTCTGCCTTGCCCTGCTAAGCCAGCATTCCCTTTCAGAAGCCGGACTCGAACCACTGGCAGCACTAGTGGAGAGGACCCAGAGCTTCCAACCACTGAGACTGCTCTTCTGCTATATGAAACAGAAATAACTGGACCCACCACTCAGTCTTCTCAAGAGTAACCAGCTATTGAGCACCCACTATGTCTTATGAAGGTGCTTTGCATACTCACTGAATCCTGTATGCCCTGTTGAGAATACACGTTCTGATGAGACGGCTTGCTTCAGTTTTAGGGCCACTCAGTTCCCCACCATCTCCACCCAAAAGCTGTGTGACCTTGGATGAGTCACTTAACCTCTCTGAGGTGAGCCTCAAGTGATTCCTCAAATTAAATGAGAGCTGCTGTTATTATTGGAAAATAAGTGCTCAGCCAGGGTCATTTCTCAAACCCATACCTTCTCCCTATTCATGTGCTTAGCTAAAAGCCTATTTCAAGGAAAAGCCATCAGAAAGGGAAGTCATCTGAAAAAAGTCCTACTCACAGACTCCACCTCTCTAGCCCCTCTAGCTGGGTCTGCTGGCCTTCCTTCTTAGCTGTGGATGAGTCAGCCATGCACTTTTTTAAGGCCAACCTTCCCCAGGACACACCGGGCCCTATTCCTTCTTAACTGTTGTACAGTTGCCACTCCTACCAACTGATTTCAGGTGCTACAGCAAGTCTGCTTCTTTCAAGGCCCATGGGCCAACCCTCACCCTGCCAGGGGTCCAGCAGCAGCTCCGGGGCCAGGGCAAGGCTGGGGCCTGCCCCTATCAGCCACAGGCTACTCATCAGCAGCATCAGGACTGAAGAGGCAAAAGGTAGTGCCGGGCACAGTAGGCCAGGGTGGTCTCTGGCATGCATAGCTTGGCTGAAGGTGGTCACGGGTGCTCTTGGGGCTGTGTGCTAGGGGTAAAGGAAAACAGTAACAGTTGTCATTGCTTTTTTTTTTAATCTGACTTCCTTTCAACTACCCTAACAACAGCCCTATTTTATAGAAAGAGAAACTGAGGCTGCAGAGGGAGACCCAGAATCAGATTGCTCAGATCCTAACCATATTCTTAGCCATCCCATCTACTTACATCTGAGGACAAGCAGGTGCCAGGTCAAAAGGGCTGAGTGCTGATAGGTCCTGACTAGGTGCCTGGGCAGGGAGGTATAGGACCGGGAAAGTTGAACTGAGGCCCTGGACTCCCAAAAGACAGGCGTGCAAACCCCCAGGGCAAACTCAGGGCTTTCTTTAGTTTTCCTCAGTCTCCCTCTTTCTTGGGGCTATAGGCTAGCCACCTTCCCCTTTTCTAGATGACCCAGAGGGATGAGGCCAATGTGCAAGCAAATTGGGGAGTGGGAGGAGCAGAAAGGTTAAAGAGCTAAAAGGAGGAGTCCCACACCACGAGCATAGACAAAGTGACAGCCAACTGAGACAACCCGTTCCTCCAGCCCTGACCACAGCATCTCTGGCCCTAGCTCTTTTCACAGGAAGTTTGCAGTACCTACTCCCTGCTGTATATCCCTGGGCAAGTTTCCCAACTTCTGAGTCTCTCCATCATGTGTAAAATGGGGGTTAAAAATATCTCATAGGATGAGAAAAAGGAATGGGTAAAAGCAGGGTCCAGTCCCAAGCTCCTACTCAATAAATTAGCCAGCCTGGCTAATTGTTGGGCCACCAGGTGGCCCAACAAGAGGAGACTTCACGGGGCCTCCCTGGTGGCAAGGGGTTAAGTTTCAGCGCTAACATGCTCTCACCACTGCAGCCTGAGTTCGATCCCCTGCCAGGGAGCTGACCCACATACGGCACAGCAGACCTCTCCTGTCACACCGACTGCTCCCCTTAGCAGTGTATTTCAGCAAATCTGCCTGTTCTGCTCCCCATTATGTCTCTGATGAATTCTCTCACCACCTCCCTACTCCGAACCTCTGACCTACACCCCAGTTCTATGCATAAATAAATCTTTTAAAAAAGAGGAGACTTTAACAGTGGGGGGCAGCTGCTTCAGCCTAGCTATTCCACACTCAAATGTGCTTGTTCCCTTGTCCATAAGACAAAGCTGTCCAGCCTCTCCCCAGCCCTTCTGGAATTCCCTCACCAGTGCAGGCCTGTCTGTTCCAGGACTCCCACTGAGCTGATTTCACAGGGCTGGAAGCAGGGTGCAGAGCGCCATGAAGAATGCCTCATCTGCTCCCTTGTCAAGGTATGAAAACCTATCCTGCAGGATAGGTAGTTTCCTGCAGGAAAAATGATGAAAGCTTCTCTATCTACAACATCCTTCCCTCCAATTCCCCCAACAGGTAAACTCCTACTCACCACTTAAAACCTACTTCAGATGTCCCCTTCCATTTCTCTAGTCCCCCCACATCATGGTTGTTTTCCTATTTTTTTTGAGCATGTGTACTCTTTCTCCTAGGCAAGTGGTCTGAGCTGGGAAAGAGGTCAGGGCACTCTTCACCCTCATTCCCAAGTTCCCCAGGGTGCTGGCAACACATAACTGGTGCTTTAAAAGTGTTCGCTAAAGTACACTACCTTGGCTCCAAGTTCCAATGAGAAAATTGATGTGAGTCTTGCCACTCTTGGGCCTAGGAAACTGCCCAGGGAGACTGGGTTGATTCCAGGAAGGCAGACAGACAGGTACCAGCCTTACCCAGAGTCAAGCCTCCTCCTGCACCCTCCCAACCATTCCTTCCCCTGGGTACCTTAGCAAGGGTGAAGGATTTGCCCATGGCCGGACAGACTGCAACTTGAACCCTCTGGGCCTCAGTCTCGTCATCTATAAAATGGGGTAATGAATCATCACACCCTGCCTACCTTACTAGGAAGCCAGGACAGAAGGGGAAGACTAGGATGGGGAAAGTCTTCCAGGTGGTGGAGAAAGTAGGGGTGTCAGGGTGTGGGTTGGACTCAGCTTAGTGACTTTAGGAAAAGTGTAACAGGGTGGTCCCCAGGAAAGGGGGAGGATCCAGGTTCCCTGCCCCACAAATGGAGGGTGGAGCTGGGCAGGGGGAGAAGAAGCTGCAGAGGTAACAAAAGTACCCCAAATTCTTTGGGCCTCAGTTTCCCCTTCTGTAAAAACAAGGTTATTGGATGAAGAATTATTAAAAGGCCTTCTCCACCCGGACCGTTACTGGGGGAACCTCGGGGCCAGGCGCCGAGTTCGAGGCCTCCGGCCGGCTCGCCCCTCCCCCGCTGGCCCGGGCCGAGCTCCCAGGGTACTCACTGCGGAGCGCGCACCCGCCCCCGGAAGGCCCGGCGGGGGCCCCCGGCTGGAAGTCGGGACTCTAGTTTCCCGCCGAGGTCTGAGCGCCCCGAACTCATTCTGCACGTACTCGGGCGCGTGACTCCGGCTGACCGGCCAGCACGCACCCCTCTTCCCCGCCGGCGGCGGATTAGTCAGCAGTTGTTCTAGGCCCCGATCCCTTCCCCCAGTCCTTTCGCCGGCCTCCGTTTCCCTCCAAGGCAGGCTCTTCAGAGACGGTCCCTGGAGTCGGCGGACGTAACCATTCCTCACTTGGCCTCGTGCGGACGGTCACTCCGGCTTGACACGGACACCCGGTTGCCGGGCGCTCCGGCCTCTTCGGTGCTATTTTGAGCCGCGCGGCACGTCCGAGGCTCTTTAGAGAGAATCAGACAAGTGTTGTGGGCGGAAAAGACGAGAAAGCTGTGGTTCATCCTTCTTGCCCCCCACCCCCGTGGCCTGGGCGGATGGTAGCGCCCGAGGTTGTGGGCTTCGCGCCTGCGCAGTGCGGCGCCTAGAAGGCAAGCGAGAGGGAGACGGACGTTGAGAGAACGAGAAGGAAGGAGAGAAAATGGCGTCCACGGGTGAGTGTGGTGGAACTGCGGTCGCGTCGGCGACGGCCGGGACACCCAAACCGGGGGTCGCTTGTCTCAGGGGGTGGTCGGGGCGACTGAGTGGAGTTGCTGAGAAGGGTGTGAGGTACCCGCTGCGGCCCGACGAGTTCGAGGGCCCGCGTTCCCCTCCCCTCCCCCCACCGGGCAGACCGGTTCTGGAACCTTCCGGCGCGCGGGGGGCTCGCGGCGGCGGGGGCGCGCGGGGCCGGCCGAGTCCTCCATTGTGTGGCGGCCGCCGGGTCCCGCGCTCCGGGCCGCCCGCCACGTGGGCGGGGCGTACGGCCTCCCGGGCCCCGCGTGAAGAGGGGGTTTTGCCAGGTCTCGAGTCCGACACCCAGAAACCGGAGGTGGGGGGGGGGATTAGAGCCGGCAGCGGCTGCTCGAGAGCGGCGGGCCCAGAGCCCCTGTGAATCTCCCCTCCCCCATTTCCAGGGAGGCGGTTCGCCCAAGGCGACGGCCTGACGGAGAATTCCGAGGGGAAAAAAGCAAATAAAAGAGCCAGAGTAGACATCGCAGATTAGCGAGCCGAGGGGCGCCGACCTATGAACGGGAGCCCCGTCATTCTTACGGCCTGTTAGGCCCGGGCGTCCGTGCCTCGGAGCTGCCCCCTCGGCGGGTTCCCGCCCAGAGCCGAACTTCTGCCCGAGTGGGCTTTGGACGGAATGTACGCGTCCCCTTTTGATTCCCAGTCGGCTGCTTCCTCTGGCTCTTTGGTTTTTACTATTATTAACCCCATCTCCATCCCTCCCTAAAAAGCAATTAGGCGGCTTCCCAGGGCCATTTTTTCTTTTTTCAGCAAACGCCGAGGGAAAGCCGTTGTATAATAAGGCCAGCCTGGATCGCGAGGCCAGAAATCCCTACCGGAATAAATTTTCGGCCCCGTTGGCCTAAGAGAAACAAAAGGCCCGGGTGGGCATTTGAATTATATACTTAAGCAATCGTCTCGCACGTTTCTTCTCCCTGGGTTAGGCCCACAGGCTTGTTTATTTCGTGAACTGATAGGAAAAGAAGGCGCGTGGTGGACTTTGAAAGAAAGCCCGCGGTGGGAACTTGAAAGAGATATTTTGGGTAGTCCTGGCTGCGGGTCCTGTGGCCGAGACTTCACCGCTGTGTGCGGCTAGTTCCGGCCCGAACCTGCGGTTATTGGTAGGGTGGGGCATTTTTTGCATTTCGGGGTATTCTTAGGCGGCCTAACTCGAGGCTTTACGAACGGGGAGGCGCGGGTTGGGGGGGGGGACGGGACTCTGGGCCCTTCAGAGTTTTTAACTTGAAAAGGGTCCAGAATCCAGTAATTTAAGGACAGATGAAGAACTCTCCACATCCGTGGTCAGTAACAGGCAGATAAACACTGGCTGTTTCTGATACAGAGTGCTCCTGGAAGAGAGGACTCTGAGCCCAAGATGTATCCTGATGGGAAATGGTTTCCTCAGAGTCCTCTCCACCTTCCTCTACCCTGCAGTGTTTGAATTTTGTAAGAGGGAGTTCTCCCTTCCTGCCTTCCTTGGGGAGTCAAAATGTGTAAGTTGAAAGTTTGGTGTGACTGGACATGCCAGTTTTTCGGTCTATTTTGCTTAAATTGTTTATACTGGTAACCATCGTGTACTGTATTAGAATTACAGTTACAGTTTATGTAGACACACAGAGGCAGACCTGGCTGGGGGACCTTGGGGAAGTCATGTAATTTATCTGGACTTTGGATTCCTTTCTTTCAGGATGAAGAGGTTAGGTTAGATTATTAAGGTTTTTTTTTAAGCCCATAACTTTCGGCCTTACAGCAATGCATTTTGGCTCCCACAAAGTTGCCCCATACCAACTACTTAAGTAGTCTAAAGTTCTAATCTTTTGAGTTTGGCTAGTCACTGTCCTAAAGTTTCTAAAAACCACCATCTTGGGTAATGTTAGCAGGTTTTTCTCATGTGTGTAATATACACGTGTATGTTATACATGTGTGTATCATGTTACGTATATGTCCAGTTTAACGAAGAATTACAGTGCAAATGCTCACAAAACCACCATTCAGCTTAAGAAATAGAACATTGCCAGCACTCTAAGGACTCCCTGGATCATAGTCCCTTCTCTCCTCAACCTGTTTTGTATCCCTAGTGAAGTTGGGTGTGCAATTTAAAAGTAATTGACCAGTGTATAACTAGCATTTTTTGAAGCCATAGAATAGCTTCAAATAATATAAGGTGTGCTATAGAGAGGTGAACATAAATTGTCATGAAGTAAACGACTTTCCTCAACCAAGCCAATGTGGGACTAAATCCTCTGGTTTCTTAGATCAGTGTTCCTTGTTCCATATCTGCTTTGCCAATTTTATGTTTTACATAACTGTTCTTTGTAAAAGTCTTATTGCAAACGCTGAACTTATATTCAGATATGTGGAATCATTTTTCTCACAAAGCCTCAACAAAATGTAGGTTATTTAGTTTCTGATGTCTCATTGATGTGTTTATTTTTTCAATACTACATTGAAGAAGTGATTTGCATGTACTTTTTATTTGCCACATAGATAGCATGATTTGTATTGCTATTGAAAAATCCCTTTAAGGTTTAACCTTAAATGCCGTAAGATTGTCTTGAACAAATCGACTTGCTCATTATACATAACTTTGGGGCGGTTGGTTTGATATTTCGGGCTTCTGAGTTAAAGGAAAGTAGTCAAGTGCAGTGTAGAAAGGTAGATAGATGAGCAACAGTACCAAAATGGATTTAGCAAAATAATCACAAGCCTAACAAATAGTTGTGAGGTGGACTTTGAAGTGGGGGTGGAACCCCTCTGAGAAGAGTTAAGGTGTCAGCCATTGCTTTCAGTGAGGGACTATCTAATTGGAAAAGAAAGGACCCTTTTGTTTGAACCTGTTGGCGGTACTGTCTTATAACAGATTAAGATGTGTTTCTTGTGAGGAACAAAGAATTGGTCACAACTTTTTAAATTAATTTATATATGTTTAATTCAGCAGTGTTGTGAAAACTTCTTAACCTTTTTATTTTCTATTTTCAGTACTTGCAGGCACCTCAGTCGACCAGTTTTTAGTTGTTGCTGGTGCATTTTCAAATGAGAAGGAAAATTATGAATTATGGAACGGTTTATTTAGAAAAGAGAAGAAAAATTGTGGCATCTCTTTTTTAAGTTGAAATCATGTTGAGTTTTAAAAAATAAAACGGTGTTGCCTAAAATCAAATTATTCCCCCAAATATGAAATGCCTCTCTCTGCCAATCAGGATTCTCCCTATGCTGTGCTTCAGTGGGATTTATAACAAAACTAATGTTTGAGTTAATTTACAGTTAGAGCCCTGCTACAGTCAGCGTACCCTTTAAAACACTAGATTGAGATGATGGTCCTCTTATTTTCTGTCATTCCATTTCACAGTCCTGCCAGGGGATTATTGTTAGTCTAACTTGTTAACTTGTGAGGGAGTGATAGAAAAACTAGTTTTTGAGGAGACGAAGATACTTAACAGTCTCATGTTAAACATTGTGATATTGTTGCATGCATTCTCTTTATATGAAGGTAAAATATTTGCTCTTATTCTTAGTTTTATGATGATGATTATGTATTTGAAAGACAGCCTGCTGTTAAGTGGAGTTTGTGGTCATGGGAACATTCAAAATATGCCACATCAACTGATCTTGACCTCATTAGTATATTCATACTTTGAGTTTAAGTGACTGAATTATTTTTTTGTTTGGGTGTTGAGAGGTAAGAGGTACTCATTTGATCCTGTATTGTCCCCTATAGACAGATTAAAAAATTGGTCTTTCTACTGCCTGAACTCCTTTCCCCCTTTTCCTCTGCTGATGTCACACAATTTTCTCTCCTTGTTTCCTCTAGATTATAGTACCTACAGCCAAGCAGCAGCCCAGCAGGGGTAAGTCAGTCTTTGCAACAGAATTTAGTGTGTGAGGGTTTTTTTTGATAGTATGGAGCCCTTCCTATAGTTGTAGAGGATTTAATAATGGGATTTGAATGTTCTGTATTCAATCATTGCATTTAATTTCCTTTACAGCTACAGTGCTTATACCGCCCAGCCCACTCAAGGATATGCACAGACCACCCAGGTAATCTTTAAGATAATTATATAACTGCATCTCCAAGTGAAATATTTCTAGCAGCCATTAAAATAATAGCTACCAGAGATCTGTTTTAAAAAATTAAGGAGAGTGGAAGTGACATGATAAATAAACCATCCCCAAACTGGGAATTGCTAGCTCTTACACCTAACGTGTGAAAAGATATTGGAAAAGTATGGCTAGTTAGCAATTCCTACTATCATTTCCTAGGTTAAGTGCCCTGCTGCATGCTTAGTCTTTGTATTTTATTATGAATGAACTTACTTA